GGCATTGTGTTTGCTGGTTACTCTGTAGAGAGGCAATGTTTATCTGCCCCTCTAACCTCTATGGGATAGAAGAGGATTCCTTCACTCTTAAAATAAAGAGCCCAGTAGTGAAAAGCACATGTGATCTCTTAATCCAATGTAAACTCTGGAGTATTTCAGTGAATTCAAATAAGTGATCTGGGGGGCTGGGATGATGTGATGCCTACCAGAGAATAATCAGTCATGGTAGTATGGTTTTCAACTGTTAGTCTTTCCCTAGGTTATCCAGATCTTAATATTTTGTGACACCATGAGATTCTTGTGAGGAATATGGCAGCTAAAGCACAAGTTGGGATAGAAACCAGATTTCTTGTCATGCTTTTGACATTATTTGCCCTGAACCTTCCATTAATCTGTTTTGCCAAGCTGTGCCTAACTCAGTTCTTGGGGCCTCCTTGGCAAGCTGTACAGACTCCTTTGGGCTGGTGAAGTGATTTGTGAATAGAACAATCCTTGCCTCTCTAAATTAGCATGGTGAACTCTCTAAATGCTGTTATGGCTGGGTTACTGGCAAGCCTTGCTGAAGGGCCAGGCTGTAGAAAAATATTCTCAAGCCCTCTTTGATAACATGCCTTGTATTGTTAGTACAGATTGGATTACAGAGTAGTTCTGTGCAGGGTTGTCTATGTTTCTGCTCGTTCATAGCAATGTCAAGTGTCTTCTTTGACTGTCCATCTCTTCCTGTAGAGTGTTTGGTGCTGGTTATCCCAGCCTGCCTGTGATGACTGTGGATGACTGGTATGACCAACGCAGAAGGCAAGGAGTGCTGTCTGGTCAGAGCATGCCTCCAGGTACAGGGTGGCAAAGCAAAGATTGGAATGGAGAACTTGGGAAGTTTCTTAGGGGGAGGGTGAATGGGGATGTGTTGAGAGTGTAAAGCACCCGCTGACTGAGGAAGAGTAAGAGCTGGCTTCATAAAGCTGTGAGAATAACTGGATTACTAGGTTGCTCATTTGGCAATTCCTGCTTTTTGTTCAGACCAGCTTTTGAGAGCTTGACTATGGATCTTCCACTGTCCTACTGCCCCTCACTCATGTTCTTGTCTTCAGCAGATGTAACTGATGAAGAGTTGCAGAAGCAGCAGGAGAAGAAAGAGGAGGAGGATGACGAGGAAGCTCTTCAGAAAGCTCGGAACATGGATGACTGGAAAGATACACACCCAAGAGGCTATGGCAACCGGCATAACATGGGCTGATGCTCTTGCTGCAGAGGGAGCATATCCTGGAAATCTGTAAGGATAGCCAGTGTCCTGGCCATACAGGAGTAAAGACACTGTACATACGCAGAGGTATCCGTGGCTTCCCTGGGAGGCAGGGAATTGGATGAGTAAACATGACCGCTTGTTTTGGTTTACATTAAATGTTGGACTGAGTGCACTGATTATGTACAGTGATGCCACAGAGCTCCTGTCAGGTGGAGCTCTTTCCGAGGGGTCAGACTGCCTCTGTTCTCCCAGTCAGAGGAAGTCCTTGCAAGAAAAGTACATGAATTTGGAAACGGTTCTTTGTATTGTGCATGGATGTATTTATTTTCTTTTCCCTCTGTATCATAGAATCATAGGGTTTAGGGTTGGAAAGGACATTAAGATCATCTAGTTCCAGCCCCCCTGCCATGAGCAGGGACACCACACACTAAACCATGTCACACTAAACCAAGATTTTGCCAGGCAGAGGTGAAAGTGACAGGCGTGTAGTTCCCTGGGTCTTCCCATTTCCCTGTTCTTGAAAATGGGAGTTATATTTCCTTTTTCCAGTCGTACACATTCAGGTTCTTAAAATGATCTTGAACCTGATCCTCTTCTACAGTGGGCCTTAAGGTCTTCATTCTCACAGTCGCTGCATCTCCCTTCCAAGACTTGGGCAGTGTGGTCAGAGCATTTGCCAGTGGAGACGGAGGCGAAGAAGTCATTGAGAACCTCAGCCTTCTCCAAATCCAGGGTATCCAGTTCTCCTGATAGCTTCCAGGGATGGCCCACATTATCCCTAGTCTGTCTTTTGTTTGCAACATGCCTATAGAAGCCCTGCTTGTTACCTTTCACATCCCTTGCCAGTTGTAATTCTAACTGGTTCTTAGCTTTCCTGACCTGGTCCCTAGCTTCCTGGACAGCATCTGTCTATTCTTCCCAAGCCACTTGTCCTTGCTTACACCTTTTATGAGCTTCTTGTTTCCCCTCTAAGTTTTCCCAACGGCTCTGTCTTCATCCATGGAGGCCTCTTGGCCCTCCTGGTGCATTTCTTTCTAGTTAGGATGCAGAACTCCTGAGCTTGTAGCAGATGATCCTTGAATATCAACCAGCAGTCTTGGGCCTCCCTGCCCTTTAGGGCTATATCCCATGGAACCTTACTAAGCAGGTACCCGAAGAGGCCAGTCTGCTCTCCTGAAGTCCAGGGCAGTGAGCTTGCTGCGTGCCCTTCTCATTGTCCTGAGGATCTTGAACTCGACCACCTCATGATCAGTACAGCCAAGGCTGCTGGGCAGCATCACATTTCCAATCAGCCCCTCCCTGTTGGTGAGCATGAGGTCAGGCATGGCATGTCTCCTTGTTGGCGCCTCTGTTACTTGCAAGAGGAAGTTATCTTCCACACAATCAAGGAATTTCCTGGATTGCCTGTGCCAGGCCGTACCATCTCTCCACCAGATATCAGGATGGTTTAAGTCCCCCAGGAGGACAAGGGCCTGTGAGTGTGAGGCTGCTCCTGTCTGTCTATAGAGCGCTTCATCCTCTTGATCAGGCGGTCTGTAACAGATCCTCACAGTAATGTCCCCCATTGCTGTTCTCCCTTTGACCCTGACCCACAAACTGTTGACTCATCACCTGTCCCCAGACAGAGTTCCATACTCTCCAGCCTATGGCTGACATATATAGATACTCCCACTCCCTGTTGGCTGGATCTCTTTCCTGTAGAGCCTATAACCTTCCACTCCAACACTCCAATCATCGGAACCATCCCATGATGTTTCTGTGATGCCAGTGATATCATATCTCTGTAGCCATGTACACATCTCTTATTCCTTGTGTTGCCCATACTACAGGTGTTTGTATAGAGGCATCTGAGCTGAGCTCCAAATGAAGCTGACTCATTGGCTAGAGTGGCTGAAATAGCTCTGCATCAATTCAAGCATTTATTAAAGGTGCTGGCAATTGACTTGGGAGTGTTGGGACGGAATGATGCCCCCCGACCAACACATCTAGTTTAAAGCTGCCTTGACCAGCCTGGCAAGTCTCCTACAAAAGTAGCTGTTGAGCTCCACCAGGCTTCAGTAGACCTGGCCTCCCAGCTCAAGTCCTGTCTTCTAAGTAACCAAACCCCTGACTATAGCATCACCCTTCTAACCATTTATTAACCTGCCAAATCTGCCTGGCCTTTTCAAGGTCCTCCCCTTTGACCTGGAGGTTTGATGGAAACACTCTCTGAGCTCCAGAGCCCCAACCACCTTTCCCAGGGCTCTGTAGTCCTTCTTAATGATTCCCAGGCTACTGCTGTCAATATCACTGGCACCCACATGGACCCTGATCAACAGGACTTACTAGACCAGGCAGCCTCTCAGGAACTTCCCTGATCTGAGCCCCTGGTAGGCAACGCTGCCATGTCACACCCTGCTCGCTGAGCTCCTGGCCTGGGTTTTCTCCCACTCAGGCTGCTCGCCTCAGCGGAGCTGCTGGCTTCTGGACAAGGCCAAGCAAGGGCCTGATGCTCCCTGGGTGGCTCTTGTTGCTCAGAACTGAAGCTCCTGCCTGTGTTTCCTGTCCCTCTGGTGTTGGAAGTGTCTTCTCTGGAGCTGCTCACCTCGGCAAAATAATATGTATATATAAATATTTAATAAGTAAAAACTCTTGTGCTGCCTAGTTCCTGTTGTTAAAATTCATCACTCTTCATGCCAGGCTCTTCCAGAGCAAAACTGTAAAGCTGGTTTCTAACAACCAGGGTGTTGGGAATGCAAGATGGTAGATGTCGGATGCATTCACTTTGGCAGGCAGGTCTGCATGCACAGCTGGGTGCTCCATGAGCTTTCCACAGTTGAATTCTGCTGTTCCTGAGCATGCAGACTGAAGTGTTGGCGTTATTTTTATGTGATGTAAATCGGGTATTTTAAGGGCAATGTCTTGAAATGCTGATACTACACATTGTAGAAATGCCTTAATAGAAATGCTTGTCCTTTTGCTCATAACAAAAGTAACATGGGGGCTGCATGGCCGTAACACATACAGTGTGATATGCAGGGAGCCCTACAGGGGCCAACAGTGCCATATTCAGAAGTGAAGTACTGCACTGGTGGTCAGTGTGCTTGGAAATCTACTGCCAGAATAACCCTGAAGGGGTGAAAACCTTTTCTGGATTCCTCTGAAACTGGTTTAAATAGCTGCTAGCACTAATCCTGAACTGAGTGAGAAGGGAGAGCATGAGTGTTCTGCCCTACATGGCACTGACCTGGTGTGCAGCAGGCATGTCATTGGGTAAGGAAGTGAGGAATTGTGGCTGGAAGACCTGGAGTTGCCCAGCATGGGACTGGCAGCTGAGGCTGCAGTTATTCTAAATGTCTTACAGATGTTGGGATAAAACCCCAGAGAAATCATCACTGCTACTTGCATGTGTGGCAGTGTTACCTGGAGGAGGTCACAAGGTGTTCACTGTCTGATTTGGTGCAGTCAGGTTCATCAGCAGAGCACTCTCTTGTGTCCAGGGAGTGAGATTTCCTTCCTATTAGCGTGACTCAGGCACACCTGAGAGGCCAGCTAGGCTACAGGAGAACTTGGATGTTTTATACTTGGCAATCTCAGCTCTTAACTAACCTGCCCCTGTGAAGCTGTAGCCTGCAGTGAATGCTGTTGCACCCTTTTTTCCAGACACAGCCCTTACAAGAGCAGATGATGAGTTTTTGTGGGTTCCAGATCTCTCCCATGAAGCATGGTTTAGACTTTAACAACACACTCAGTCCTACATGTGCACTTATTCCTTTCCTACTTTTGATGGTAGCTGCCTTTTCCTTGTGAGTACTTCTGGAGAGGTAGATCCTGAGAAGTAGCTCCAGTGAACCAGTTCCTGTGGATTTTCACCTTTCCTTTGGCTCTTGGCCTCAAGCCCCAACTCAGTGCTGCTTTTGTGCTGTTCTTGTTTCATTTTCTTATCAGTTTTTTATCCCCCATTCCTCTCCACTTTGGCTGAGCTAGCAGGCTGGGCTGGCTGACTCCAGTGGCCCTTTTAGGGGTGGAAGAGGAGGGGACAGTGCTGGGGCTGATGGTCAAGGCCTGTCAGGCGGGCTGCCTTCCCATACCACAGAGGGGGAGCTTCGGGATGACGTTTAGAGCAGAACAGGGTTTGTGAAATACCCAGCACACGGACAGTACCATTACCAGGGGAAGACAGCTCCCACGGAGCCGCCGCTGGTGCCGGCAGCGGTGCCTTTCTGAAGAGCAGTGGGTGTCTTTTGCCACAGCAGCGCCTCACTGCTCAGCGTGACTCCTCGTCCTCCCAAGGACCACCAGCTCTTCCTGCTCTGCAAGCCAGGACCAGAGCAGGTCTGCTCCCCTCCACAGTGGACGGTTTACCTTGGATCAGCTGGTTAAAGCCGCTGGATACACAGTCACCCTCCGGCATTTCCAAACTCACCTTTTAACCTGCAGATCCAGGGGCTGGCGCAGAACTCCCTGCCACCATGAAAACAATTATTGCAGCCTGCTCTCAAAATCTTAGTGGTAAGATACTTCCAAAATGGGTTTGAATGGTTTCTGGTGCTCTGGAGATGCGAGGAGTTGTCAGGCAATTGCCTTTTGTTGTCACTATTGTCTGTCCACTTCAGACTTAGGGGAAAGGGAGATGTTTGGAGCGATTTGGGGTTCACAGCACCAGAGGAAAACATACAGTTGCTCAATAGGAATTAATTTCTGACAATGCATTCAGTAATGTTACTCCTGCAACGTGCTCCAGAACGCTGCAAATTCCCCTTTCTCTTTCCTTGCTGCCCTGGACTGTGAGTCCAACTTCCTGGGTTTGAAGAGGCTCCTCTCACTGCAGACGGGCCCAGCAGCAGAGCCCATGGGCCTTCTCCGTTTTCTCTCTGTGGTGTGGTCATTCATGGAGAGCTTGGAGGGGAGCTGGGAAAAGGAACTAAGAAAAGCAACGCTTTGGTGGGCATGAGTTTTCTCAGCAGAGCTTTGCATCTTCCCTGGAAAACAAATAGGGCTTTGGAAAATTGACGTAGGCAGGGCTGTGAGGGCAGCAGGGCTTCTGGAGGGCGAGCAGGGGTGGGTAGGAGGGAGCGACTGGGGTACAGAGGAAACAACTCTTTAATACTGGTGATGCCTCTGGTGTTTATTTTGGTTGTCCCATTCATGACTTGGATTGAGCCTGAATGAGTGGAACCAGCCACTGAACGCAGGGTTTGGTGATTCTCCTCTGAGCTGCAGGTCCCACAGGAGACCTAAGGGTCTCCAGCTTGGGGAGCCATGGGGACAGGTCTGCTCTTAGCCAACATGCTGGTTTTGGGTTGTTTTCCCAAGAAAACAAGGCTCTTGTGGCACAAGGGGTAGCTCGCTTGCACCCGCAGCAGCAGCTGTGCCGGGTGGTCTCGGGCACAGTGGACCTTTGGCCAGGAGCGGTGCATGAGCAGAACAGGCACCTTGGGATGGTTTTGGGGAGGAGGAATGGGGCCGTGCATGGAGTTTGGATCCTGGCTCCTGGCCTGGGGCAGTTAATGGTTCACCAAGGTCAGCTGGAGGGAAGGGGGCGGTGGGGGGAGTGGAGCTGCTGCAGCTGCCGGACTGTCCCTTGCTGCAGGCAATGCTCCATGGGGACAGCTGTGGGGACAGCCAGCCTCGGCCACCCTGCTCGGTGCCCTGCCGCAGTCCTTGGCACGAGCTGGGGTTGGACACTGCCCTGCGCCTCCCCCTGCACCAGCTGGGAAAGACACGAATTCTCTGGGAGCCTGAACATGGGAAAGGTCCTGGCCTTTGGGGAGCTGGGCGTGGTGTGGGATGTGCCACTGCACTCTGCTCCAGTGCTGCACCCAAGCTCATGGGCATGTCTGGGCCCAGGGTGCCCAGCCTGCCCCCTGCTCAGCACAAGGCTGTTCTAAGAGCAGCCAGCATGGTCCAGAGCTCTCAGGATGAGCGTCCTCCACCCCACCCCTCCTCACCCAACTGCTTCATCCTTTCCATCCTACTTCCCACCTCACCGCTGCATCCCAAAGCCCCAGCAGCCACAGGTGCCCCTGGATTCACCCCCTGCCAGCCCAGTGGAGCATCTTCGATCCAGTCTGTGCTGCTCTGGGCTGGGTGCCATGTCCCTTCACAGGCAGCCGCGCCAGCATCCAGGCCACCCTGCGCACCCTGCTCACAGCGCCCTGGCCCTCGCAGCGGGATATCCACTCCTGGCTCCAGCTTCTCTCCGTCCTTCAGTGGGTGCTCAGCTTCCTGCTGCTGGGTCAGTGAGTAGGGGACTGCAGGGGGTCCCATGAGGCAGGAATGCACCCACTCACCCCCTCCTGCTCCCACAGGGATTGTCAGCCTGCTGCTCCTCATTTACCTTGTGTTCACCAGCTTCTGGCCCATCTCTGCTCTCTACCTGGCCTGGATCATCTTTGACTGGGAAACACCGGAGAAGGGTGGGTATGGGCACAGGTCCCCTTTTCCTCCTGCTTTGCAGCAGGATGGGGCATGGGGTCTCCTCTTTCCCGGAGTCCATCCCAGCATGGCAATTGGAGAGCACCACGTTCCACCTGCTCCTTCCTTCCTCTGCCCCATCATCATCGCCATGGTGGGAAGAGGGACGTGGTGGGTCTGTGGGTAGTGTTTCCCATGAATCCTGCTGCCTATTGGGGTGGGCATCATCTCCTGTGGTCCCTCCCTGGTTTGCAGGTGGCAGGAGGTTGCCATGCCTGCGTCGCTGGACTGTGTGGAGGCACTTTCGGGATTATTTCCCTGTGAAGGTACAGTGCAGGGAGCCAGGGTGCCAGGATGGGACGTTCGTGCAGGTGGTGGTGGCACCACCTAAAAGAACATGCCACTGTTATGTCCCCACAATCCCTTTTATCCCCACAGCTGGTGAAGACACACGACTTGTCCCCTAGCCACAACTACATCATTGGCTCCCACCCTCACGGCATCCTCTGCGTTGGCGCCTTCTGCAACTTCATCACGGGCTCCACGGGCTTTGAGGAGATGTTCCCGGGCATCCGGCCCTTCCTCACCACCCTGGCGGGCAACTTTCGATTGCCCATCTTCAGGGAGTACCTGATGAGTGGGGGTGAGGCTCTGTGCTTGCTTACCTCATGGGCTGCCCTGCAGGCATGGCTGGTTGTGCTGCCTTGAGGGATGCGGCCACTCCCTGCCCCGCTCCTGCCAAGCTCTGCTGCTGCCAGGCAGAACCCAGAGGGTGCAGTACCCGTGGGCAGGGAGCTCCCCAGTCCCATCTGTGGGAAGCCCGGGTCTGATGTCCTCTGTGCTCTACCTGCAGGGCAGGCAGAGCCCGCTCCTGCAGACCCAACCACTCCAGGAACCCTGCCGCAGCAGGGGGAGCTCTTGCTCTGTCCCTTGCATGGTCCCAGAAGGCAGGGTCCCTTGCGGGGTCCCTCAGAGGGTCCCCGAGCACTGCAGGGGCTGGCAGTCCCACAGCACCAGTGGTCCATTCTGCTGCAGGGCTGTGCCCAGTGACACGCCGTGCTATCGGGTACCTGCTGTCCAAGAACGGCACCGGCAATGCGGTGGCCATCGTCATCGGCGGCGCGGCCGAGTCACTCTCCTGCCGTCCCGGCATCACCACGCTCACCCTGAAGAACCGTAAGGGCTTCGTCCGCTTGGCCCTGCAGCACGGGTGGGTCACGGGCACCGCCACCTCTATGGGAGTCTGGGGGTCCTGGCATCCCATCCCCACTCACCACGTTCCCTCCACAGGGCCCACCTCGTCCCCTCCTTCTCCTTTGGGGAGAATGACCTCTTTCGCCAGGTGGTCTTTGAGGAGGGAAGCTGGATGAGGAGCATCCAGCAGCGCTTCCAAAAGATGATGGGCTTTGCTCCCTGTGTCTTTTACGGTCGGGGCCTCACCTCCATCCAGTCTCGGGGTTTCCTTCCCTATGCCAAACCCATCACCACCGTAGGTGAGCATCTTCTGCCTGGGAGGAGGGGATACCCGAAAAGTGGAGGGGGGGAGGAGGAGGACACCCCGCAGTGGGTGGTGTTGGTAGGCAATGTATTATACAAAGGCAATGTATTGTACATCCCCAATAAGCTGGGCCAACCTGACCTTCCTCCTCTCCTGGCAGTGGGGGAGCCAGTGACAGTGCCCAAGATCGAGGACCCGAGCAGTGAGGTGGTGGACATGTACCACGAGATGTATATCCGCTCCCTGCTCAAGCTCTTCAACGAGAACAAGACCAAGTACGGTCTGTCGGAGATGGACGAGCTGCACATCCTCTGAGCACGGCTTGGGGCCGGCGGCCAGATCCTGGCTCACAAGGGCAGTGCTCTTGTGGGTGGGGATTTCAGCCATACCGGCATGGGGGACACACGGGGGATGCACAGGGGACGGTCCCCACTCTGGCCCTCGGCTCCTCTGGCCAAAAAACTGAGCAGGAAGCAGGAGAGGAGGAAGCAAAGGGAAGGGGAACTTGGGAAAGAGTCCTCTTTGAAAGGGATTTGGAGGGGCTGTGGGTGTCCCTTGAAGATGTGGGGCTGATGGGGGGGGAATGGAGAAAGGCTGGGGGCCAGTGCTGGGCATGGTTCCCTCAAGATAACCAGGACACTGTGAGCTTAGGGAAGAGGTGTCATGTGAGGAGGGGACAAGATGGGCTCTTTGGGATAGCATCCCAATGGTGAGTGGGACCAGGCTGGGGAGATATCCCCCCCTGGAAGGGACACTCCAGGACCTGGGGACAAGTGGCCTCAGCCGGTACCATGTGGTCCTGGGTGAGCGGTGGGTGCTGCTGTGGCCCCAGATGAGCCTTTTCCACCACCTCTGTACCCAATACAGAATTCCAACCCTGCAGCTGTTCCTATGTGTGTGGCGGGGTCAGGATCAGCAGCGCTGCAGGTGTACCCTGCACTTCCCATGTGGGTGAATCTGCCACCCATGTCCCCTTGCTGGCAGTTCCATCTCCAGGGCTGGGGCTGTGCTTAATGGGGACCCTTGCATGGCTCAGGTGTAACCAAGCAGCTCCCAGGGACCACCTGGGCCACATCAGGTATAATGGGAGGTGAGATGCCACAGCTGCTTGTACTGCGTTAACTGAGCTTAGGAGGGAAGTTGTCTTCTCTGCTTCCACTTGAGCAGTGAGTAGGGGGTTCTCTGTGTATCACTGTCTGGTGGGATGGGAATGGGGGGGTGGGATATGGCATCCCTGGGGACCTCTTTCCCCCCAGGTGACCTGCGTACCTCTTGGTGGGATGCGCTGTGTGTGGCCAGTGCCATGGGGGGGAGGGGGGGGTGATGCCCCGATAATGCTATTAGCATCCCTTCCCTAGGCAACTGCAGGCAGGGCTCATGGGGGCAATGGGAGACAGTCCCTCCTGGGCTCCCTATGACAGGGACACCCCCATCCCATCCCATCCCAGATGGTGTGTGAGAGTCAACAGTACTGATAGCCATCTCTGGTCTGCTGTCTGCGTAGGCACTTGGTCAAACAAAAGGGCTGAGTAAACATTTGGAAAGCAAACATCCATAAAGGCAGATTCCCAAGGACTCTCGTCACCGCAGGTGTCACTGCTCTGGCTCCTCCCTCTGGATGACTGGTGCTGGCTTTCCTTCACTTTCAGACACTTTATAGGGTAAAGGGGGTAAGGGTTAAGGTCCCTCTCCCTCCTCTTACAGGAAGAAACAGCATAGAGAAAAGGGAAGGGGCTTTATTGAGGGGTGATGGGCAGCAAGTACCCCATGCTGCATCCCTCCCTACCTTTCCCAAGGCCACCAGTGTAACAGGGGCACCTCTGACAACCTCCACCAGGTACTCAGAGGGCCCGGTGTCGGCTTCATCCACAGATTCAGTCTGGTCCCCCCACATTGCTATTGAGCAGGTTGGAAGGGCTGTGCATGCCCAGGAAGGGACCAGTGTCCCTTCTCTTTGGTGCCCCACATCCCCAGGAGCACCCCAGGATGGGATACCAGCTGCCTCCCCAAAATAGATTTCTCAGCATTTTTCCCATTCCCATGGGTCCCCCAAAGGTGGTCATGCCCCAGCTGGCACAAGCACCCTCTTCCTATGGCATTCTGGGGCAGGGCTGGGACAAGGCCCATGGCCACCGGCCCTCAGCCCTGCAGTGTCTGCCCCCGCAGAGGCTGGGCAGGGCAGGTTTGGGGACCTGGGGATGCCAGGGTGCCCACATGGAGCCCCGGGGGGCTGCAATGTATGGAGACCAGGGATGAGGTTACTACAATTCCCTTTGGCCCCTCAGCACCCGCCTCTGCTCCGTGCTGTCCCAGTCCCACAGGTGTCACTGGGAGTGTGGCTGCCGCCCAGGATGCTCTCCATGGAGGGGGACACCAGGGCCAGGTCACAGGTGGGCACGGACCGAAGGCGATGGGCTGGCCCCCGGCGCAGCTGCCCCCGGTACTTGTCCCCAGCCATGAAGTACAAGATGGGGTCAAGGCAACTGTTGATGCTGGCCAGGGGCCGAGTGATCTTGTAGGTGAAGTTGATGATGTTGAGGGTCCGACAGCTGGCTTGGAAGTAGCGGGAGGTGTAGTAAATGGTGCGGGTGATGTGGAAGGGCACAAAGCAGATGGCAAAGACAGTGAGCACGATGATGATCATCTTGATGGAGCGCTTCTTGTAGGAGGGCATTCGGGGGCTGGGGCTGGAGAAGCTCGACTTGCCAAGGCTCTTGGCCATCAGGCAGTAGCACAGGACGATCACTAGGAAGGGGACCCCAAAGAGGAGGGCCATGACGGAGGAGCTGTAGTGCACGTAGTGGTCAAACTCCTCGGGCTTGGTGGTGTCATGGCACAGGGTGGTGTTGCCCTTGGAGCTGGTGGTGACGAAGATGAGGTTGGGAATGAGGCAGATGGTGACGACAAGCCAGGCACCCACACAAATGATGCGGGCATGCTTGGTCTTCACCCAGTTCAGGGAGCGGATGGGGTGGCAGATGCCCACGTAGCGGTGAATACTGATGCACGTCAGGAAGAGGATGCTGCTGTAGAGGTTAGCATAGAACAGGAAGCGCACCACCTTGCAGAGCCACTGCCCAAAGGGCCAGTTGTTGCGGTCAGCATAATAGTAGACCAAGGTGGGGAGGGATAGGACATAGAGTGTGTCAGAGACAGCCAGGTTGAACATGTAGGTGGTGGTGGCGTTCCAGGGCCTCATCCTGGACATGAAGATCCACAGGGCCCAGGAGTTGAGGGGCAGCCCCACCACAAAGACGATGCCGTAGGAGATGGGCAGCAGGATGAACTTGAATTCCTCGTTGAAGACACACTTTGCCTCTGCAGCTGCGGTGGTGTTTCCTCCTAGCCAGGAAGCTGGTGTCGGTGTCCACAGGGCAACTGGGAACGTCCGCACTGAAGTGGCCATGTTCTCCGAGCCAGATCTAGGGGAGCAGTTAATAAAAGTGCATTAGTCGTTGATCCCAACCACTGTCAGGCACAAAGCATGGAAGGGAGCCAAAGATGCCAGATTTGCCCCCCCTCCAGGAGCTTCGGCCACTTTGATGGTTCTCTGGTTTTTCTCAGCTTGTGCGTTCGGGCCTCGCGGGGAGCTGAGGGGGACTTGACAAATCCTCCCCTTCGCAGCCCCTGCAATGACACCCATTAATCATCCCTTTGAGCAGCGCGCAGTGACACCAGCGCCGCGTGGAGCCGGGAAGCGTGCCTGAGACAGAGGACCACGCCGGCCCCGCAGGGCAGCAGCCCCACGGCGCGGCGAACAATGAGACCTTTATAAGCAACAGCAGCCCCTGCCCAGTGCCAGCACAGCCTCTTGGAAGCCGGCTCAGCCTAATTGGCACCATCCTGACAATGCTGCTTGTCCCAGAGGGGTCCTTGACAGAAGAAAGGCAGGAGGAGAAGAAAGGCTTGTCTGGGGGAATATTATGGCCCGGAGAAATCCTCGGGGGGCTGTTAAAGGAGCCTTTGGGAGTGAGTGTCCCTGGACGGTGAGGGGCCTCCAGCTGCCGGGTATTCTCCCTAGGAGAGGGATGATGTAAGCCCTGCAGAGAGGAGCTGCGCCAGAGCCGAGTCCCAGCTCAAGACAGTGCAAGTTCATAGGGCAGGCAGGATGTTTCCTTTTGCTCAGTGTTAGGATCAGAGGCTGGGATCTTCATCCTCCTGGCAGATTGGGCCCCAGCGCTGAGGCAGGAGGGGGAGCTGGCAAAGGGTTCATGTCTCAGGATGTCTGGAGTTCAGAGCCCACTCCACCTGAAGGAAGAAGGAGCTTCTGCCACCATCATGGTGTCCAGCAAAGCACCACTGAAGGCTGCCTGTGCATTGGCCTCTCCACACCTCTCACTGTTCCTGGCAAAGCAATCCTGGATCAGCCACTTCTGCTGGCCAAGGGTGGGTACTTGGATGAGTAACCTGGGAGCAGGAGCATCTGCCATGCTGCTGGCAGAGATGAGGGGGTACCCAAACCATATCTGACGGAGGGAGCGCTGGGGTGTCTCCAGTTGCTGTTGGTCCAGAGCTCACCCAGGAGGTGATGGGCATCAGGGTGCATCCTATCAGCCTCCTTGATCCTTTGGCTCCCTCGTCATCCCCCTCCTGTTTGCCCCTTGCCTTTCCCATGGAGATGTGCAAGTGGATGGCTTCTCATGGCAAGCGCTGTTGGCAAGAACATCCCATAGGGTGTACCCATGGGGTCAGCTGAGGTGTGATCCATCTCCCTGCAAAGCCTCACCTGCAGAGACATCCCTGGGTTTACAGAGATGACCATAAATCGATCAGGAGGCAGATGGGCAAGCAGGAGGCTGCAGGGCCAGCCCCTCGGTGCCACACGCACCTCTGTGTGCTCTGTTTGAGGAGTGGGCTGAGCCACAGCTTCAGGCTCACATCAAACACCCTGCAGCTTCCTTCCTGCTGCGGCCGGTGCAGGCAGCCAACTCCTTTATTACAGGGATGAGTTCAGAGAGCAACAGGCAGGTCCTGATCAAACATTAACAATGGGAAGAACTCACTGTTTTCCCAGAACCAGGTAGCAAACCCCAAGCCTCCGACCGCTGGTGCCAGCAGTGGCCCTTGGGGTGCTGTGCTGGTTGTGCTGGTCCCAGCCCAGCGGCTGCACCTCTTCAGTCTGTGATGCTGCTGAAGAAATGATGCACCGGGAGATTTATTTCCCTTTTCTAAGTGCAGGTGAGCACGAAGCCTTGAGCATGACCAGACCAGAGGCGCTGCAGGGTTCAGTGGCCAAAGTCAGTGCCCATGACATAGGTCAACAACCAACTAAGACATGAATAAGGCAGTAAATCCGGTGTGAGAAATGCATAAGGAGAAAGCCTGGCAGCTCTGTGGTACCAGACTGCTTGGAGGAGAGTGCATCTACACAGCTTCCGGCGGCAGATAAAGCCCGAGCATCATCAGTGCTCAGCAGCATGGTTTCACCATTCCCAAGTAAGCTTCCCTTGAGGATAACCACCAAAAAATGAAAATGCAAAAGAAGATGACATTTGACAAGCTTTATCACAACAGATTTGCTGCTTCCTCATCTTAGTCATGATCACAATCCATGGTTTAACTTGCTGATTCACGTCATAGAATGGTTAGGGTTGGAAAGGACCTTAAGATCACCTAGTTCCAACCCCCTGAAAAAGCAAACTCCAGCTGTGCAAGAACAACCTGGGCTGGAATCTTACCAGCATAAAAATGTACCTGCAGGGGTTTTCTTTCCTGCACCAGTGCACCCAAGGACACGTCACCACCAGGCCCCCTCCTGCTCCTTGCTGATGTCCCCAGCAAGGCCCTCCCTGGCCGTGGCCTCTCCAGAGTGGGCTTTTCAAGGAGGTGACCTCTGAGCCAAGCATTCACTGCCACAGTGGGAGATGGGAGACGCTGCAGGGAAAGGACATGGAGCTGGGGATGTGATGCCAGCTCCCACCCTGCCCATTCCGTGCATGCTGGAGGGCTGTGAGGCTGGGAAATCCCTTCACCATGGCAAGCACAACCTCACAGATGTGAGCTTGGCCACTGCAGTGCCCTGGGAAGCAGCGAAGGGTCCTGCAAACCCCCTGCGTGGCCACCCACCGTTGGGAAAGAGCAGGAGCTGGTGTGGGGCCATGGGTTGGGGGCAGACGCTGCCCTTGGCCCTTTGCTGCATGAACAGAGCTGTGCCCTGGCTCCTGGCCCCATGGTCGTGCCCAGCCTGAACCCGTCCTTTGGCCCCAGTGGGGGCCAGCAGCTGCCCCCAGCCCTGTTGCCCCTGCAGCTGGCCAAGAACTCCTGCCCTGTGGATTCCTGGGATGTTAGAAAGGCACCAATGAAATGAATGAGTGGGGCAGCGCCGGTGGCAGACTCTGCCCTGGAGCCAAAGTCCTGCCCGGCGGCGGGACCGGATAGGGGTCGGGGATCGTGGTGCAGCGAGCAGGGGCTTTGGAGAGGGGCGAGAGAGTGGATTTTGGAGGGGAGGGAGCAGCCGCTGGGGGATTCGTGGCTGGGTGAGCCTGGGACCGGCTGCCGCTGGAGCACGGGGAGAGCAGGGCTTTGCTTCTCGCCCAAGCGCTCGGAAATTGCAAAACAAGGGGAAATTGTGCAAAACATCCTGCAGCAGGACCCTTGTCCCTAATCGCCACGGGCTTGGTGCAGCCAAAGCCCCGGCACAAGGGGAGCGTGACCTCATTTCTTTTCAATCCTTCCCTTTGACTGCAAGAGCAGCCAAAGCACGACCCGCCTGCGCTGCCTGGGTGCCGGTGCCTCCTCCCCAAGGACACCAGTGAGCTCGGGTGCTTGTCTCTGCCCACCACATCCCCTCCCTGCTCTGAGGTGACCCCTTTCTCAGCTGGGTGGGAGGTGAGGGTTTCCCTTCACACTTGGGTGGGCTGTTCCTTGACCCTCTGCCTCCCCAGGGAAGGGCAGGAGCACAGAGCATCCGGCTAAGCCACAGCAGCCCAAGGGCAGCTTTGCCCTGCAGGGAAACAGCAATTTGAGGAAGAGGAGAGGAAGATGAAGGAGCGGAGGTGGGCGCACAGCAGCCCTCGGTGATGGAGGAAGGCAGTGGTGTGTTAAGGAGGAAGATGCACGGAGGGATCTGGGGATGTTGGAGGGATGGGGAGCTCTGGCTGACCCACACCCACCCGGCCCTGGGTTCCCACCTCCATCCCTTACAGGGCCAAAGCCCCTCACAGCGTCCCCCCAGTGCCCAGCTGCATTCACACGGCTGTGGTGCGGCCGTCCCGCTGCTGCCCCTGCCCCGGCTCACCTGCGGACCTGCCTGGGGGGGGCTCTCAGCAGCGGGGCCCCGGGGGGCCCTGCTGGAGGGGCTGCGGGCGGCCCCCGCCGAGCCCTGCCGCGCCGTGTGCCCGCTCCTGCGCTCCCACCGCTGGGAGCAAAGTGCCCGGGAGAGGCAGGGCTGGAGGCGGGCAGAGGAGGGGCAGGAGCCCGCAGCGATCCCTGCCCGTGTCCCTGCCCGCCCCAGGGGCTGCCCGCAGGGCTCAGCCCCGCTCCGCTCCCCTCCCGCCCATCGCCCTCGCAGGCCTTGGGCCATCTGCAGACCCTGCAGCAGCCCCCAAACCGTGGGACGCGTGGGTCTCACCCATGGGGCCACAGCCCTGTGGGAGGCAAGGACCCTTGGCCATGGGGACCAGCGCCCCTCGCACCTGAGGACCAAAGTCACTCAGCCGTGAGGTCCACAGCCCCTCATCCGTACGGACCGCATCCCCCTGCCAGTGGGGACCGTGGCCCCTTGCCCACCCTACGGCAGCCCCCCTGCCCCACCGGGTCCACGCATGTCCCGCAGTGCCCGCACCCCAGGGTGCTGCCCTGCTGGCATCCCAGCCCTGAGGGGCAACGCTAGGGACAAAGGTGGCCACTGCCACCTTGAGGCCAGCCTGGGCATAGTGTCCCCCAAACCAGGGCCACCTTGGGCGCAGCAGCAGCCGGAGCCCTGTTGGGCTGGGGTCTCCCTGTGTTTTGGGGGGACCGTGTGCCCCCACTGCCTGCAGAGCACTGCCTGGTCGGGGGATTTAACTCCTTTGCGAGCGTCAGGCGGGTTAAAAGCGTGTGCTGTTCAGAAGCACTGGTATTGGGATGAACGGGCATGCCGGCGGTGAACGGGTGCGCCCTGAGATGCTGGGGACCCTGGCCAAGAGCGGGGTGGTTTGGGGAGGAGCAGAGGTGTGAGGGGTGGTGCAGGGGCAGCCCGAGAATGCCTGGACACAGAGGGAGAGCCTGGGGGAGCCTGGGTGTGCTGGGATGAGCAGGTAGATCAGTGCGTTCCAAAGGGAACGGTGCCACTGAGGGCAGCCCCAAGGGATGGGTTTGCAGGGTCCCCGAGTAAACAGTGGGAGGCAGAGGGCAATGTTCTGGTGCTCCCCCTTTGCCTGTGCACAGAATGAGGCGTTGCACACATGCACCCCAGCATCCCTGAGACTTTATTCTGGATGGGAACAGCAAGGGGCATCTTGTAAGGAAATGGTGCCGCAGCCTCAGGAGCAGCTGCTGTAGATGAAGCCATCTGGGAATGCTGTCCATCCTGGAGTAATCTGGGAATGCTGTCCATCCTGGAGTAATCTGGGAATGCTGTCCATCCAGCGCTGGGCCTGGGGAGGAGGGATGAGGCCAAAGGCACAGGGTGTGTGGAGCTGGGCTGGCCACAGGTGCCACTGTGCCCTTGCAGGCTGCCTGAAAAGGCTGAGCCTTAAGGTCCAATGTGGTCCCACCTTCCAAATGGCCTCAACATCTCCTATGTCCACCATCCCTCCCTGCTGGTGGGGCTCAGCATGGTCCTTCCATCACTTTGGGGTGGAAGGATGGAAACAGGCACTGAGACACGGAAAGTGTCTGTAGGAGCTTCCTGACACCCCCAACTGAGTCACTTGCTGGTGAGGCCAACCACGTTGGGAGCATGGCCTGGGTGTTTCCTGCCCCATCCTCCTCGGCAGCCCTGCCTCCTTGGGAGCTCCATAGGAGAGCGCACACTGGTGCTGGGGTGGGGATGGATGCTCTAGGCGCTGGGTCCGAGGCTGGGTCTCTGCGGCAGGCTCACCACGGTGCCATGGATGAGCTGAGGATGGCTCGGGCTGAGCGCCCCAGCCTCCGGCAGGTCCCGCTCCGTGACATCTCTGTGAGGGGGAGCAAGTGCTGGGGGAGCCACAGAGAGGAAGCAGGAAGCCCACGCAGCCCCAGGGCATCCATCGTGGACTTGACATCCTCCTGCCCCTGTCCTGCCACATTCCCACCTCTCCTCCCCACCAGGGCATGGGGCTCTGCCAGGGCCTGTGGGGCCACAGGAGCTGATCTGCACTGTGCCCCCTTCCTGGGCTCCAGGGCCTGGGGTACCTGAAGATCTCCTGGTGGTCCCAGCCATGCTCTTGCAGCCGTTCCTTGTCCTGCTGCAAGCTGAGGTGGCCCAGGCACCCACTGGTGCTGCGGGACCATTCACCCCTCTTGCAAGGCCACTGGGAAGAGAAGCACAGGGACACATGCCAGCAGGGTCATACTAGGACCATGAAGTCCCCGCCTTCATGTCCTCACCCCAGGTCAATGGGGCACATTGCTGTTCCTTCACCTTCCGCTATCCCACTGCCTGGGCACCTCCATCAGGCAGAACAGTGCACTGGGGATGGGACCTTGCATTTGATGGTGACCCCATGGCCCAAAGCAGGTCCCCTCCCTCCCTCAGCTCCCCAAGCCCTTCAGCTGAGCTCCAGAGCCCCATAGGGACCACAGTGGTACCTCTCTGGAGGGGCTGTACTGGCGAGCACCTGGCAGGCACCTCGATACCTCCCGGCAGGGCCGTGGGGGTGGCTCCAGGGTGCTGTGGGCCTGGTGCAGCAGGGTCCTGGGGTGCAGCAGGTTCTCCTGGCTGTCCCCTCCATCCCCAGGGGATGCCCAGTCCATCTGGCTCAGGCAGGAGGCCATGTGCAGCGCTGTCAGTGAGCAGTCGCCCAGCCCCGGTGTGTCCCTCACCAGCGTGGCTGATTTGGGTCTCTTCTGCTGGCCCACACGAAGGGGGCTGAGTGGGCACTCACGGGGTGGACCCCCTGGTACACGGTGGGGCTGGCTGCCCCACTGCTGCTCCTCCGAGGGCAAAGGGGCCCGTGCCCCAAGGGGGCTCTGGTGCTGCGGACCCCTGGCCGGGCTCTCTGCCTGCTTGGTGTGGGCTTCACCAGTGCCAGGGGCCAGCCCCCATGTGTTGGGGACCCCCTCAAAGATGAAGTAGGCTGGGTTGGTGTAGCCAGCAGGCGGCTCCGGGAGGCTGCGGGGCCGGCTCCTGCAAAGCACAGTGGGAGAGGACTCAGCATCGCCCCACAACCAGGCCTTGTGGTGGGGCTGAGCCTGGCTGCAGTACCTGAGGGTCTGCCGGGGTGGCTTGGGGCACATTGGGGTGTCTGCCGCTGGCTCAGCATCCTCCTCCTCAAAGCTGATCCACTCTGCAAGAGCACTGGAGTCTGGCATCTCCCCACCAGGCACTGCACAGCCCCTGACCGCTGCTGGGGTCCGGGGGGGCAGCCTGGGGTGCACTGTGCCCCATTCCCAGGGTGACAGGAGGGTACTGGTGTGTGGCCACCCTCACCATAGAGCCTCTCACGGGTGCCGCACGTGTCCTTGGGGACCCGGACCTTCATCCAGCCACGTATGGAGCCCGTCTCCTCGCCACGGTGGAAGAGGAAGGTCTCAAACTGCTGGGCCATGCTGCTGATCATTGACCTCATTGCGATGCAGCACTCACCTGCAGGCACAGCACGCAGCAGGGTAAGTTCCACAGTCCCTTCTGCCAAGCTCCAGCTGCAGAACCACACACCCAGAAGGCTGTTCCCCCCTGCCACCATCCCGCACGTACCATAGGACTCGCAGCTCTCCACACCCTTGATGCTGAGGAGCAGGTGCTGGTCCACCAGGTACTCCAAGTCTGGCAGAATGGGGTTCAGCTGCATGCAGAGAGAGGAGTGCTCGGGGGGGCTGCTGCAAGGTAGGGTGGTACAAGGTGGTACTGTCCTGGGGGGGACGGTGACAGCCCCCAGGACCCCTTGGGGGTCAGGGTATGGAGCCAGCAGGAGGGATGCGGCAGAGGAGGGAGGAGGATGCTCAGGGGTGTACCACAGGCAGATGCTTTGCGGACCAGCCCAGCTTGAGGAAGCCGGGGATGTCACAGCTCTGGAAGGTGTTCTCCCCGCTCCGCTGGGCCTCTGCGAGGGAGAGCAGCGGGCATAGGTCCAGCCAGGGCTGGCTCCCCCCCATGGCACCCCGCTGCCACCCCAGCACCCCGCAGGGCCACCTCACCCTCCAGGCAGTAGGAGTGGAACTCGATGCAGCACTTGCTGCGGCTGGTGGTTTTCACAATCACCTCGATGCTCTCCCACTCGATGCAGGCCAGGGGCTCGGGGCTGGAGCCGGGAGCTGCAGGCAGGTACCAGCAGCTCAGCCCATGGCCAGGGCTCACCCCAAACAGGGTGCGGGAGTGACAGGCCCCAGGCCCTTACCCTTCTTGGGCACAAACTGCGAGGTCACTCCCACCTCGAAGGTGGCGAAGACGGGCGAGTGGTCACTGGTCACAATGTCATTGGTGCAGCCTGGAGGGTGGCAGGGAGCAACTGGGTGATGGTCCCCAGCCATGGGGTCCCGGGCAGCGCTGGCCCCCAGCCCCAGGGTCTCACTAACCATAGGAGTTACAGACCACGTGGGTCTCCGGGTGTGACTTCCACAGGATGCGGTCACACCACGAGGGGACATTGATCCTCATCTGAAAACAGGAAAGCAGCCAGCTTCAGTGTCCCCTTGGGTGCACCCCAAAAAGCAAGCTCCCTCCCATCCAGGCCCGTTTTGCAGATGGAACAGGCTGGTGGAGGTGTGGGGTTGAACATCACCATGCAATTCTTCCCCAGCACCAGCTGAGCCGGCTGTCCCCATCCCACAGTGATGTCCTGCGGCTCGGCAGAGGCTCCATGAACTCACCCCTGTGGGCTTGAACTTCTGCCACATGTAGCTGTCCCGGGAGCCCCGCTCATACCGGTAGGTGGGGGGAAAGGAGATGTCACCCTCACCTGGGAACCAAGACAGAGGTGGCACAGGGGCCAGCACCACTGCAATCAGCCTGGGACAGGCCCCATGGAGCATCATCCTGTGCTCACACCGATGGCTGAGGGCCCTGTGCTTGCACACTCTTGGGATGCAGAGCGCAGGGACCTGCCCTGTTGGGGCTTGCACATCCCCAGCCTTTCAGCACAGGGCTATGCCAGGCCAGGGCTCCACCATGTGTTGGAGGTGGCACAGGAGAGGTCTGCAGGGACCCTGGGTGCCACCATCTCGGTGCCCGTGTCCCCACACTCACTGAATCGCAGGAACACCTTGTTCTTCTCCCGCTCCAGGTTGAGCTGGTCGACAGCCAGGAGAGCTTCAAACTCCTTCTTGGTTATGTGGGCAAGGATGTCCTGTGCCGGGGAAGGAGGCACGGTGAGCCCCAGCTCCTCCCATCCCTGCAGCGGCACCAGCACTGCCACCAGCGTGCCAGCATCCCGCTGCGGTGCCCATGGGGTCCCACCTGCACGTCCATGTCCAGGCGGTAGTTGAGGTCCCCGAACCAGAAGAGGTGGGTGAAGCGCAGGGTGAGGTCGAAGCCCCCCAGCCGCTTGTCCCCCAGGACCAGGGAGTGCAGGATGTCACTGTAGTTCTGGTTCCGCCTGCGGGGGGGGACGACAGCAGCACCATGTGAGCCACATCATTGACACCTCATCCTCACCCTGCTCCTGGGTGGTGGGGACAGGGACATCCCCACAGCCCCCTGAGACAGCTGCCTGCTGTGGGGCAGCCCCATCCCCAGCCCCTCCATCAATCACCTGTGGGTCTTCTCGCTGCCAGAGGCCAGGTGGCAGTTGACGAAGCCAAAGGAGGTGCCATTGAAGAGGAAGGAGACACCAACAGCTCCCTTGTTCCCTGCAGGGATGCGCTGGGCACTGAGCTCTGGGGCATCTCAGACATCCTGGGGTGGCTCTCAGGCTCTCTGGGGCACCCCACACCCCATCCCTACCCAGGGTGTTGGCAATCCCTGTTTTCACGCTGGAGGTGTGGACGTGGCTGATGCGCCGCTCGTGCTCGGGCTTCACCAGCACCACAATCTTGATGCTCCAGAGGCACTGCAGGGCAACCTGCGGGGAGGGACAGGGGGTGAGTCTGCCTGCTCCCCCCATACCACCCCATGGCCGAGCGCGGTGGGGATGGAGAAGCAGCAAGGTCAGCCAACCCATCCCTGAAAGGTGGCTGCTGAGGAGGGCACACAGAGTCTGCGGGGTGTAAGGGGTTCCCTGGGCTGCATTTGGGGTGGGAAAGGACCCTGGCTTTGGGGGTAGGATCCCTGGGGTGATGGCTGCTGGTAACCAGTGCCCTGAGACTGCTGCAGGACACCTTTAGCGTGCTCAGCACTGGGTGCCTCCCCAGGCACAGCCAGAGAGGTCCAGGCTGCACCCGCCGTTACCACTCGGTAGTCGATGGCCATCAGGGTCTTGAGCGATGCGCGGAGGAACTCGACCCACTCGCGGTCACCCAGGGAATTCTCCTGGGTGCCGATAACGTAGATGTCATGGGGGATGCAGGCAGTGGTCTCATCCTGCGTGCGCCCCAAGCCCCTCGAGGTCAGCCAGGAGGCGATGGAGCGGGGTGGCGGCGTGCTGCCTGCGGGCAGGGGACAGCGGGTCACCAGGGCGGCATGCCAGGCTCATCCGGCTTGTCCCCAGCCACAGACCCTATGCACCTCCAGGAGCTGCCAGGGCAAGAAGCTTCATGGCAGCCCTACAGCTCAGCCATGCTCATGCGAGACTGATGGGGGATTTACTGCTACCGCCCAAAACCCTCCCAGGTATCCCAGGTCCTCCAATTCCCTGACAGCCACTGGGTGAGCGGATCATGACAGGACAGGCAAACACAAAAGCAGTCAGTCTTCTCCAGCCTCCTCCTCCCACCAAGGACCAGCTCGGACCTCAGGTTTCCTGGGGCAGGTCCCTGAAGCTCTCACGCCCCCAAACCCACCCATGCTCACAATGAGCCATGGCAGCCTCCCAGGACAATGTGACCTTATCCTTACCCATGTTCCACGTCCCGACATACACTGAGATAAGGTCAGGCTCTTCCAGGTTGGAGTGCTGGATCTTCATCAGCTGCAGCAGCTGGCAAAAGGCCTCTCGCTTCTGTGGGACAATACAAGTGTCTTAGGGTCCCAAAGGGGAGCCGGGAGCCACAGCAAGCCCAGAAGCTGCTGGTGGTGGGATCAGAGGACATCACCCCCAGACACAGGAGCCAGTTTGCTCTCAGCCCTGAGACCATTGATTTGCTGCATGGTGCATAACAGCTCTGGATTCCCCCAGGACACCCAGGGAGCAGCCGGTGCTGCTTACCCGTGCACTGGGAAAGATGAAGTCTCTGCTGAGGCTCTTCTGTGGCTCCCGGTCATACAGCAGCCTCACCTTGCTCTGCACGCTCTGGTATTTGATCAGCTGCAGGACTGAATGCTGGGTGTGAGGGGGTCAACGGTGGCTGCCAGCCTCCCACCACGGGAGCGGCAGGTAGTGTGGGATGGGGGCTTGGGATGAGACCAGGTCTGCAGCCCATCACCCTGGCATCAGGCCTGTGCCAGGGAACCCCACAGTCCAATCATCATCGACCCTTACTTTTGTCCTGTGGGATGGTCTCCTCCGGGGACCCACTGCCCTGCTTGGTGATGGCCACTGTGCCCGACTGCACGTCCACCGTCAGGGCTGCCCGCTGCGACTTGCCCACCTTCACCTGCAGGCAGGGACGAGGATCCCGGGTTGGCCCCAGGCCTGCCCAGCGTGGGCAGTGCCGCTGGGGCCCTGCTGCATCCTCCACGCTCACCTCAAAGCTCTGCACAGCCAGGGGCCTGGCGGCTGGCGGGGGGGACGCTGCCATGCTAGGTAGTGCCAGGTTGTGCCTTGACACCGTCTCCTGCAGCGACTTCAGCACCTGCCGGGAGATGGATCCTGGTCAGGGGGCACTGGGCTAACTGGGAGCCCTGGGCACCCTGGGGCTGTGCAGCTGCTGGCAGCCTGCTTTGCCAGAGGGTTTGATTTAGGTGAGGGGTTCACTGGAGCACAGTGAGGCTCCCCAGCCTGGGGCACCCTCAGAGCTGGGCAGTGGCTGCCGTTAACAGCAGCCATGCCTCCGCCTGCACCCAGTATGTCGCGCCTCCCAAGCCCAGTATGGCAGGATGGGGCAGACACCTTCTTCTCCAGTGAAGAGAGGAGATGGTTGACGGCAGATATCTTGTTGAGGAGCAGCTCAAGGTCTGGGTCGCTGGTCAGGAGACCCTGGGGAGAAGGATGGACATTCCTGGAGCAGCACAGTGGCACTAGACTGGTGGATTCCTCCTCGTGGGTTTGGGCTGCATCCTGAGACATGGGGGTCCCTGGGGTCTGGCAGGGGAAGCAGCTTCCTCTATTGCTGCACCCTGGACTGGGTGCAGGAATGAATCCCTGCTTGCCCTCGGGCCACAGAGCACCAGGTGCCTTCCACTGGCTGCAGGGACCATGGCACGCAGCACCCATCACCGCTGGCAGTGCTGCGGGGTGTGCAGCACCTTTGGGTGCTGACAGGCACCGAAACCACCCCAACCACCTCCTCAATGAGCAGGGGCACCCAGCCATACATGAGGACACACCTGCAGGTGGCTGGGGGCTGTGGTGGCCGCGGGGGGGGTCACCTGCTCCCTGGCTGGGCTGTGAGGGGACATGGGGGGGTCGAACATCCTGGCCAGTGTCTCCAGACCAGCCAGAGTGAAGTCGATCTCACTGCAGAGGGGAGGAGAAGGGAGGAGAGGAGAGGAGCGGGTGAGAGATGGAGCAGGCATCTCCTGAGCCCTGGGTGCCGGTGTCCGGGCACCATGAAGGGGATGGGGGCACAGGGGTGCGCTCGCCTGTGCAGTGCGCGGCAGGCAGTGACCAGCGCGGTGCTGAGGTGACGCAGTTGCGGGTGCCCGTGGCGCAGCGCCTCCAGGTCCAGCTGCACGTGGTGGTTCAGGTACTCAGCCATGAAGCCCATGAAGTCGCTGGCTGGGCTGCAAGGGAAGGTGGGCATCTTAGAACCATAGAAAAGGTTGGGTTGGGAAGGGCCTTAGGATCATCCAGTTCCAGCCCCCCTGCCATGGGCAGGGACACCTCGCTCTAAACCATCTCACCCAAGGCTTTGTCCAACCTGGTCTTGAACACTGCCAGGGATGGAGCAGTCACAACCTCCCTGGGCAACCCATTCCAGTGCCTCACCACCCTCACGGTAAAGAATTTCTTCCTTGTATCCAATCTAAACTTCCCCTGTTTAAGTTTTAACCCATTACCCCTTGTCCTACCACTGCAGTCCCTGATGAAGAGTCCCTCCCCAGCATCCCTATAGGCCCCCTTCAGATACTGGAAGGCTGCTATGAGGTCTCCACGCAGCCTTCTCTTCTCCAGGCTGAACAGCCCCAACTTTCTCAGCCTGTCTTCATATGGGAGGTGCTCCAGTCCCTGATCATCCTCGTGGCCTCCTCTGGTCTTGTTCCAACAGTTCCATGTCCTTTTTACGCTGAGGACACTAGGACTGCACACAGTGCTCCAAAGTGGGGACATCCCTCCCCGGCCATGCCCGCACCATCACCTCCACCAGCGCGGGGTGTGCAGGGCTGCCTTACCTGCTGTGCACCTGCTCCTGCAGCCTCTGGTGCAGCTGCTGTGAGATGTGGGTCTGGGTGGTGATGGGAGCGCTGAGCCATGAGCCTGCCGCGGCTGCGCTGGCAGGGACCGCGCTCACCGTGTGCCCAGTGCCCCGGGCATCCTCCCCGTCTGCGGGCAGAGCACAGCGGCTCAGCAGGAACCCTCCATGCTCACACCCTGCATGGCCCCCATGTCCCCTCCCTGGCTCACCCGAGTCCTCCTCGGCCGCCTGCCCTGCCCGGTGCACGGGGTAGAGCAGGGGCATCACCAGCCCGTTGTTGGGCTGCTGGTAGGCACTGATCAGGTCAGGGAGGGTGCGGAAACACTTGGCTTGGATGCCCTGGATGGTCTGGGGAGGTAGAGAAAGGGAAGCACACAGTATCACAGTATCACAGTATCACAGTATGTTAGAGATTGGAAGGGACCTCAAAAGATCATCTAGTCCAATCCCCCTGCCGGAGCAGGAACACCTAGATAAGGTTACACAGGAACGTATCCAGGCGGGTCTTGAATGTCTCCAGAGAAGGAGACTCCACAACCTCCCTGGGCAGCCTGTTCCAGTGTTCCGTCACCCTCACTGAGAAGAAGTTTCTTCTCAGGTTTAAGTGGAACCTCTTGTGCTCCAATTTGTACCCATTACCCCTTGTCCTTTCATTGTTTGCCACTGAGAAGAGCCTGGCTCCATCCTCGTGACACTCCCCCTTTATATATTTATATACACTAATAAGGTCACCCCTCAATCTCCTCTTCTCCAAACTATAGAGACCCAGCTCCCTCAGTCTTTCCTCATAAGGGAGATGCTCCACTCCCTTAATCATCTTAGTTGCCCTGCGCTGGACTCTCTCCAGCAGGTCCCTGTCCTTTTTAAACTGAGGGGCCCAGAACTGGACACAATATTCCAGATGAGGTCTCACCAGGGCAGAGTAGAGGGGAAGGAGGACCTCTCTCGACCTACTAACCACCCCCCTTCTAATACAACCCAGGATGCCATTGGCCTTCTTGGCCACAAGGGCACAGTGTCGGCTCATGGTCACCCTGTCGTCCACCAGGACCCCCAGGTCCCTCTCCCCTACACTGCTCTCTAACAGGTCGTTCCCCAGCCTATACTGGAACCTGGGGTTGTTCCTGCCCAGATGCAGGACTCTACACTTTCCCTTGTTATATTTCATCAGGTTATTCCCCGCCCAACTCTCCAGCCTGTCCAGGTCCCTCTGGATGGCAGCACAGCCTTCTGGCGTGTCGGCCACCCCTCCCAGCTTAGTGTCATCAGCAAACTTGCTGATAGTACACTCAATTCCCTCATCTAAATCGTTGATGAATATATTAAATAATACTGGTCCCAGTACCGACCCTTGAGGCACTCCACTAGATACAGGCCTCCAACTAGACTCCGCCCCATAGACTACAACTCTCTGGCTTCTCTCCTTCAGCCAGTTCACAGTCCACCTCACTACCCGGTCATCCAGACCACACTTCCTCAATTTAGCCGCAAGGATGCTGTGGGAGACCGTGTCAAACGCTTTGCTGAAGTCGAGGTAGACCACATCCACCGCTCTGCCATCATCCATCCACCGCGTTATTTCCTCATAAAAGGCTACAAGATTGGTCAAGCACGACTTCCCCTTGGTGAAGCCATGTTGACTGCCCCTCATAACCCTCTTATCCTTGATATGCCTTAAGATGGCACCAAGGATAAGGTGTTCCATCACTTTCCCAGGAATGGAGGTGAGGCTAACCGGTCTATAGTTACCCGGGTCCTCCTTCTTGCCCTTTTTGAAGACAGGAGTGACATTTGCTTTCCTCCAGTCCTCAGGCACCTCTCCCGTTTCCCAAGACTTGGTAAAGATGATGGAGAGCGGTCTAGCAATGACCTCCGCCAGTTCCCTCAGCACCCGCGGGTGCATCCCATCTGGACCCATGGATTTATGGATATCCAGATTGCTCAACTGGTCTTTAACCCATTCCTCATCAACTAAGGCAGACCACTCCGTTGACCTGTCTTCATCCGGGGTCTCAGCGGTACAGGGCTCTTCAGGACTGCCTCCAGCAGAGTAGACAGAGACAAAGAAGGCATTCAGTAACTCTGCCATCTCTGTATCTTCTGTCACCAGGGCACCCGTCCCGTTCATCAGCGGGCCTACATTGCCTCTGGTGTTAGTTTTACCTGCCATGTATTTGAAAAAGCACCATCATGTCCCTCCCTCCACTGGCTCCATGTGCTTGAGGCAGTGCCTGGGCAGGCTCTGGCCCAACCTGCTCTCTCAAGTGGGGCTGTCCCCCAGAATGAGCCCATGGCAAGCAGGATGCCTGACCCATGGGAAGCTTACCCCAGCCCCTTGCATGGCAGCAGAGAGCAGGAAAACATCTGCCCCATGCAGCACATGGGAATGCTCCCTAGGGACCTTCAGGATGTTCTTTTGAGGGGCTAGAGAGGAGAGCTGCAGGGAGCTGGGTGGCAGGAGATACTGTGAAGTGGCACCAAAGAGGGGAAGCAATGCTGAGCTGTCAGGCAGCCAAGACAGACATCACGGGGACGGACATCATAGGGATGGGACCTGTGTGGCCAGGCTGGGGCAGGAGACAGTGGCAGGAAGGGGACAAGTGTTTTGCTGTGCTGCCCTGGGCTGCATGGTGGCAGCCCCACATGCAGAGGGGTGGCTGCAAAGCGCCCACATCCTGCGGTGCTCGGTGCTGCAGGCAGCTTGCGCAAACCGCAGTGTCGGGGAGGGCAGGCGGATGCCACCTCTTTGTGTGCTGTGAGGAGGCGAGCATCCCTGCCCTTTGCACCTGCATCCTGCCTGTGCCCCCAGGCAGGCACCCAGGGGCATTAGCCAGGGCCGGGAGGGCACCCCAGTGGCACCCAGCCCCTGGACACCCGCTGCTGCACCCACCTGGACAGACAGCAGCCCCTCATCATTGGGGAGGATGCGGTAGGTGTGGACGTGCCGCTGGAACCTGGGAGAGAGCAGAGGAGGGTTCTCCATCACAGCCCCCATGACACTGGGTGTGTGGCAGCACCCAGCCCTGATGCAAAAACCCCGTTCCTTCTGCAGAGGGAGGAACTCTCATTTCATAAAAGCATCACCCTCAGCTCTGGGTCTGTACCGGTTTGCAGGGGGGGATGCGCAGTGTCCACTCAACTCCAAACAGCTCTCTGCCTGTGTGGGCACAGCCAGGAGCTCAGCCACATCTCCACCAGCATTCAGTGGGGCACCCCACGGCACTGTGTGGCAGTGAGGGTTTCATGGCAGCCCATTTTACAACAGCCGACGGCTGCCATAGCATGGTCATACTCGCTCTGGGGCCACTGCACATCCCTGCCTGTGCCACCATCCTGTCCGGCATCAGTGTCGGGATGCTGGCGGATGCCGGCTAAGCTCCCGGCATTCCCCGCTCCCCTCAGCACCATGTGTTTGCAATTTGTCCCGTGCACTGGGCCAGGCCAGCGGTAGGGAAGGGGGTGGCATCCCTGCAACCCCACCAGGCACCGCCCCATGCGCTGCAGACATGTCGCTCAGCTGCAGGAAGGGTGCAGGCAGCAGGAAGGGGTGCAGGCAGCCCTGGCAGCAGTGCTTTCAGGGTGTGGGGATGGCAACGGGCCCCATGAGTGGCAGGGGATGTAACCCTGAAGTCCCGGCATCTGAGATGTTAACAGCAGACGTCACGGTGCAGATGTGGCCATTGGGGGTTGGAGGAAGAGGGGATGTTTGTTTTTGCAGAGGGAGAGAGCTCTGAGTCAGCCTCTCCCGCTCCCACAGCAGGCAGGCAGCCCAAAATGGCTTGGCGTGCCCTGGATTTCGGGTTCCTCCTTCAGCAGCGCTGGTGCTGGGCAGGGCTGTGGGCCCAGGCTCCTGCCTGCTCCCAAGGATGCAGGGTTCTCCCCTGGCCTGACATGGGCATCGCTCCAAAACCCCTGTGCCAGAGCCTGGCAGCCAGCTCACCCACCAGCATCCCTGCAGCAGGTTTTGGCCATAGCAGGAGCAGGGAGAGGGATGGAGGGACCCGGTGATGGACAAGAGAGAGAAGCCCCAAGCAGAAGCCAGGCAGGTGACTTACAGGAGGCAAAGGGCATATGCTCCTGACACCGACTCGCTGTCCCGCACCAGGAAGCAGCCGTCCCGCCCGGCCTTGGCCAGCAGCTCCTCTGCCACCACACGGCTGATGTCCCGGTGGTACCAGTTTGCTGCCGCCATCCTCTGAAGCACAGGGACAGTGGCTGTGCTGGGTCCCTCTCCCAGCCCTGCATCTGGGCTCAGCAGCGGCTACTGGCCATCAGCTAGCCCACGGGGTGGGCTGGAGAAGGCGAAGGCGGGGGTGATGTGGGACACCAGTTCCCTGGTACCCGAGTGAGTTGGTGGCTGCAGGTCTCCGTAGGTGATGGGCAGCCACCGAGGTGATGCTCATGGAGATGGGGTACCCCGTGGCCAGGCTGTGTTGCAGGAGCAGGGCCAGCGGAGCAGCTGTTGGAGGCTGGGGGTCCTGACACTCTGCATCACGGGAGGCTCCAGCCTGTAGGTGTACAGCAGCAGAGATCAGAGAATGGATCTTTCTCTTGGAGGGCCGGGATCACCCCCCTGCTGTCACCCAGCGCCACCATCCTGCCTCAGTGCACGGCCAGCACAGGCCATGCTGCTGTCCCAGCGGGGACCCAGACCTCCCCCAGCACACTCACCGTCCCTCGCAGGTGCAGTGCGGGGCTACTGCGGCTCTTGTGGGGTGCTGTGGGCAGGGAGCCGAGCTTTCGGGGTGCAGCCAAGCAGGAGCGGAGCTGTGATGCTGCACCGGCCGCTTGGGGCTCCCTCCCGCGGGGCCGCTCTGCCCGTCACACGGTGACGGAGGGGTGGCAGCGGGGGGTCAGCAGCACCCGCACGGATGGACCCAGCCTGTGCCCCACCACCGGGACCGCGGCTCCGTGCCCTGTGCTGCTCGCTCGGCACCGCGGCCGCCGCCGCGCTCTTCCTCCTCCTCTGCTCTCGGCACTGCCGGGACCAGCCTCTCGCTCCTCCTCCAGCTCCAGCCCCGCTACGGGGGGAAGCCTGGGGCTGAGCATGGCCGGGTGCAGGCAGGAGCAGTCCTGAGCAGGGGCTCAGCCCCCCACTGCTCATCGTATCCTGGGGCAAGGGGCAGTGGGGGACAGAGCCCAGTCCTTTGGGCAGGACCATGAGAGAAGGGATGGACAGTGGTGGGGGACAACAGCAAGCCCCTGAAGTGTGTTTGGGGTGGTGGGCAGCCTACAGGCAGCGACTGAGCTGCCCACTGCTGGAAACCTTGCTGCCTGCACTGGGGCTGAGCTCTGCTGCTGGCTGCGTGGAGGCAGAGATGCTGTGGGCATCGGGTGGCCAAGCGAGCCAGGCGCCCACAGTGGCATTCATGTCACGCTGTCTGTGTGTGCAATGCCTGCAGGCAGAAGGGAAGTGGGGTTTGGAGGCTCCTGGGAAGGGGTCAGGAAGGAGGAAGGCTTTTCCTGAGAGCACAGGGCTGTAACCAGCACCGGGGTTCCCTCCTGGTACCTCCTGCCTACAGACCCAGAGGTTTTGCTCCTTGTGGCAATGAGTGAGCCATGCGCATGCTGCTGCTAGGGTGATTAGCACAAGTTAATTACAGGTAAGTAGCACCGTCTGCCGCCAGAGCACTCAGGAGCATGGGGGCTGCTCTGAATGGAGACAGGACAATGGGCTCCTGCCGGGGGGGATGAGGGTGAGGATGGAGTGCCCTGCCAAGCCATGCTCCTGGCTTTCTGCTGCTCTTGCATCAGGAGCCATGGGCCACGCAAAGGGACTGCTCCTCGCCACCAGCCCATTGGTGCAGACATGGCAAAAGCCCCTGCCATGGCTTCCTACCGGGCTCCCAGCCTCAAGAGGAACCGGTGGTAGGGCCCACTGAGAAGTCAGGCAGTCTGCTTGATTTTGGGATGGAGGCCCTGGGCCACAGGGCAGTGGCTGCCATGGGGACACACAGTGATGGCAGGTGTGTGCAGAGGTGGCAGCAGCAGACCCCCATTCCTGCCGGAGACCCACATCCTGCCAGAGACCTGCTCCCACCAGCACCGCTCTCTCTGTTATTAACAGAGCGGCAGCGCGGAGGTGCCCGGCTTCGGATTAACGCCGTCTGTGCCACCTAATCTGGATCAGGGGAGGAAGCCCTGGAGCTCTGAGGGGCTTTGAGGAATCAGCGGCATCGTCTGTGTTTATGTAAGGTGGCTGCGGTCTGCGGTGCCAGGTGCGGAGCAGGGACGTTGCCAGAAGCACCAGCACTCAGGGAGCCCTGCCAGCACCGCGGACACTTGGATGGTAATGCGGGTTCACCAGTGCCACCTTGCTGGGTGGCTCCAGCTCCCCCCAGGCTCCCTTCAGGCATTGGAACTTGATGCCCACCCATGGCAGTGCTGGAGTCACCATCCCTGGAAGTGTTCACAAACCGTGCAGACAAGGCCCTCAGTGACATGGGTTAGCGGTGGCCTTGGCAGTGTGGGGGTAAAGGTTGGACTTGATGATCTTAAAGGTCTTTTCCAACCTGGTTGATTCCATGATTCAGAGGACAGACCCTGCAGGCAAAGTGGGAAAGATGTGAGAGGCTCCATGGCTGTTCCCTGGGCGACAGGACACTTAAGGGCACTGGATGCCAGGGATAAACCAGATGTCTGAGCTGTGCATCACAGCACCTAGACCTGGAGGGACAAGTGGGATGAGACATATGAGAGCAGCCTTTGGCCGTTTATTAAACAGGAAAAAGGAAGAAGCTCTCTCTCATTTCCCTATTATTTTTAACAAGGTGCTGCATCCCCCAGCTTCTTCCCCGGTGCTTGGTTCAGAGCTCAGTGCAAGGGAAGGGATGTGGCCTGTCTGTCTCACCACTGGTTTGGGGAGGGGAAATATCTTCCCCCCACATGGGCAAGGGGGGTCTCCCTGGCTGAATCCACCCAGTCAGGATTAAACCGAGCTGAAGCAATCTGTTCTCCAAGCTCACCATGCTCCGCAGCCCCTGCAGCCAGAGCGCCTGTGAACAGCACCGCTCTCAGGGGCCTTATTAAGAGCCTAATGAAGAGCAGCAAACAGAGAGCTCAGGACGAGGTGCCCGGGGCATGGCGCTGGGGGTGGGCACTGCGCTGTCCCCCCGGTGTCCAGGTGGGGCTGCCTCCTCCTGCTCTTCCCCTCGCCAGCGGGGAGGTCACAGTTCACGTGTCCCCCTGACCTTGGCAGAAATAGCACCCACTAAGCTGCAAACTAAGAAGCTCTCCGGTGTGCAATTAAAGAGATCACAAGTCCCGTCCTTTGCGCAACGTGTGTGACAGCTAAAGCCCTGGGCAGTGGGGCTGGTGGGGATGGCATGTCCTGGTGGCCCCTGGTGGCTACCAGTGGCCCATAGGAATAGGGACACAGGTGGGCTGCGTTTGAGAGGAGCTGGTACCCAGGTGATGGAGGTTGTTAGGCTGATGCAGAGTGCAGGGAGGAGATTATGGCTGTGTCTCCATCCCAAGGCATCCTGACCCTCTGGGGTCTGAGCCAGGACCAAGTGTGTGCTCGAAGTGAAGGGTCTGGCTGAGCAGGCAAGGGCTTGAGAGATGCTGGAGGTGAGGAAGATGAGAGGGGCCTTGCTGGAGCAGTTTGCAGGCTGCCCTGGGCTGCCCTTATAGTCTGTGCTCTGTCCCTAGGGTCAGCTCAGGGGCAGCATCCATGAGCATCCTGCAGCCACCTCTCTGGGATTGGGATCCCCTGCACTGGCTGCAGCCAAGGAAGAACAGCAGTGAGGAACGCTTCTCTCCTGGCTGGCATAAGGCAAATTCACTCTGTGCTTTCAAGAGTTTTCTATTTGCAGCAGCAAGCCTTGAATTAATGATGTGCTAATAGGGTCAGGTGAGGACAGCCTGTGGTGTTATGAAATGATGTGGGGCTGAGCAGGTTGCCCAGGGGTGCTGGGGGATGGTGACAGGTCTGTGTCCCATCACTGAGGGATGGCTGGCCCTTTCCTGCTGCCTGCAGGGGGAAACACCCTGGTGTGGCAGCTGCCACTGCAGCCCTGAGCCTCATGTGTGTCTCTGATCTTGTACACCAGCATCCCTATAGCAAGGGTGTCCCATGTGCCCTGCAGCAGTGGATCACCACTAGGTGTCTAGCCACATGGGCATATTGGCCATGCAAGAAGCTGCCTGCACCTCCTGTCCATCAATTGGCCATCCAGCAAAGTGCATGAGGGAGGGATAAAACTGGACACATCTGTCTCTGCCATCTCCATCCACCCTTGTGCCCAGGGCTGGCCCTGCTCCACTTGCCATGGGAGCAGCTATAAACAGTTGCCATGGAAATCTGCCCCTGCCCACCAGGAGCAGAGCTTCCACCTCAATTACCATCACCTTGCTCCTAAGCCTGCTTTGCCAATCTCCATAAGCGGCTTTCCCAGGACTCTAGTCGAAGCTGTATTTATAGCTCACTCTTACTTATGGAGCGTCTCTCCAACTAATAAACTAATAGGATTCTTCCTGAAAGTACCTCTCCCGAGGTACACACACACACACCCCTGCATCTCCAGCCAAAGATCAGATGCCAGGGGAGGGACCATCAGAGGGGTATAAGAAGCTTCAGGTCTGGAGCATTCTGTTGTGACTGCGTGACAGCAGGACGTGCTGGGAGAGGAAGAGGAGAGCGTCTGCCTGCCTGCCTGTCTGCCTGTCTCTCCACCTGCCGGGTGAGTGCTGCCTGGGCCCTGCAGGTGCTCTGGGGCACTGATTCTGCTGTTTGATCGAACACTTGGCAGCAGGGACATTGGGGCTGGACTGGGGCTGGAAGGAGAGTGGTTTGGGGCTGAAGGGAGATAAATGTGGCCAAAAGGATTTCAGTGTTGGCCGACACAGAGGGCATGGGTGAAGGGGTTCAGTAGCAGCAAGAGAGAGCTTAGCAAAGTAGGAGGGGACAAGTCCCCTCTCTGGATCTTGGGAGATATGGAGTTCAGCTCTTCTCTCCTCCACCTTTCATCACTTCATCTCCAGTTCCTGGATCCTGGAGAAGGCTGAACCTGTGGCACTGCTCTGCTGCTCCCACTCCCTTCACAACTTTTCTTGCTTCTGCCCAAGAAACCGTAGAGGTGAGTATGCCCAAGCTTCACATCCCAAAGCACTTGATGGCATCAAAGATCCTGTGTTTGGGACTAATCCCTTGTTTTTCCATGGGGAAGAGGATAATCTCCTCCCCCCTGTATCAACTTCTTTCTCCTCAGCGTCCCTGTGGTTGTGTAAAGAGGCAATGTGCCCACGTGCCCCTGGGGCTTAGAATCCTGCCTGGGCTTAAGCTCTGCTAACGTCAAGAGCTACCTAACTTTAAGAAGCTGAGTTCATCCCATCTAATATCCCGGTGATCAGCTGGTGATCAGTGTGGTAGTTATGGTTTAATTCTGGACATCAGGCTCAAGCAACCAAAACACAGGCAGCACCAGTGAGCAACTGGCCAGCGTGAAGACAGACCTGCAAGAGCTGCCCTCCCGGAGCCATCCCTGGCACTGCCAACCAGGAATGGGGATGGAGGGGCTGTGGGTTGGGGCCATGCACCCCGAGAATCCCCCTGCCCCCAGGGGGAATGTTAAGGTGCCCTTTACCTTTCTGCTTATGGTTTCCTCACTCACTGGTGAGTGAGGGGACAAAACAAGCCTGCTCCTGCTGTTCAGCAATGCCACCAATTCCTTGCAGAAACCAGAAATTCATAAAATTGAAACTCTGTAAGCTCTTTTGCTCATTTTCCTGCCTTTTCCAAACTTGATCCCTTCAGAGTTACTTGTGAGCTTCCTATTTTCTGAAGCCTGCCTACCTGGAGCATTGCTCTCCCCTTTTCTCTTCCACCTCCTCTTCACCACTTTTTCAGCAGGGGGAAGGGGTTTTCTCAGCTTGGCTGCCCCACTGGGTCACAGAACTACCGTGTGCCTCATGTGCTGTCTCGAAGCTGAACCTGGAGCATCCGAGCGCTGCCAAGGCAAAAGGCCCAGCAGTGCTCTGCAAGTGTGTTAGGACAGGGATGATTCTGTCCTGCTGCAGTTGCCCCTTCTCCACCGCCTCACCCAGCACCTCTCCATCTCCCCACAGATCCCCACCTGCACAGCCACTGACTTAGAATGGCAGACGGAGCAAAGTAAGTGTTTTGTTTGATTTGTTTTAATTGGGATGGAGCAGTGTTGCTGCAGGACAGGAGCAGAGGGAGAAAAGGAACCCCCTGGCTCCCCTCATGAGCCAATACATGAGCTCACTGTAGAGAGATTGAGCCATTGTAGAGCCAACAAAACACATTCTCTTTTCTTCTGTGTGTTGGTGCTTTCTCACTTGTTCTTAAGACACAGACAGCTAACGCACCCCCTCCTCAACAGCCATGCTTGGAGCTCAGTCAGCAGCATGACATCTCCGTGGGTAGCCTGGTGAATGGGGTGGGTTTGGCTCTGAATCTGCAGGATACCAAAATTCCCAAGGGCAGGACATCCTGTGCATGCTCTGGCACAGGTCTTGGAGATGCACCATGCTTGCAGGCTTGCAGGGAAGCCTGCTTCTCCTTGCTCCAGGGAGAAGAATGGTAACCCCCCTCCCTCCCTGTCCTGGGAGTGGGATGTGCCACCTCATCCAGCCTCATCCAGGGTTCCCAACATGTCTGTCTGTGTCTCTTCTGCAGGGTGTTCAAGAAGACCAGCCCCAACAGCAAGGTGAGTCCATGCACACAGAGAGGGGACCACGTACCCCATCCTTGGGTGTGAGTCAGCCTAAGTGCGGGCTGTGCTGGGTCTCCTTTGAGGTGGCTCGCCCATCGGATAGGAGATAGGCTGGGTTTCCCTTCCCTTTGAAACCTGACTGATTCCTGCTATGCCTGCTCTGATGCCATCATAGGGCTCACTTTTCAAAATAGAGATGAAAAAAACCCAACTCTATGAACCTTTAAATGCAAGGCCTGGTCCAACATGCTATCAGCAGGGTTAATGAGCCCCATGATAAAACTCAAGGATTGAAAATTTTGGATAATTCAATGGCAAACACCTATTTCCCTCTTTCTTTTAACCATGTGCTGCCTCCAGCTATCCATCTACCTGGGGAAGAGAGACTTTGTGGACCACGTGGATTCAGTGGACTCTGTAGGTGAGTGGAGCCATGCCTCTCGTGGAGAGAGAAGCACAGGCAACGCTTGGTCACCTTCCCAGCTGGTGGACAGATGGGTGGAACATAGGAAATGCTGTGTTTCTGCAAGGATCTGCCCAGGCAGCTGAGCTCACTGGCCCTTCTTCTCTGTTTGTCTGCAGATGGTGTCTGCCTGATCGACCCGGAGTACCTGAAGGACAGAAAAGGTATTAATACAGAAACCCCCACATTTTAAGGGGAAGAAATGGAAAGCAGTGCAAAGCTCTTCAGCAACCTGGGACTGGAGGCAGGTTAAAGCTGCCATGTCTACAGGGTCATATATAGCTCCTTGTACATCAGGGTCCTGGAAGCTGACCTGGAGGGGAAGGCTGCCTCTTTCCTCTCATCTCTTCTGCCTGGGGCACTGGCTCTGAAGCTACTTGTGTCTTGCAAAAAGATGTGTTAACTTCATCAAGTCAATCTGTAAATCAAGTGAATCTGTAAACTTAGTGCTGGAGGTCCAGGTCCTGAAAGCAGTCGTGTGTCTGCTGAAGAGATGTTAAAGTAGTTTTCTTTCTTTCTTCTTTATTTAACACTTTCCCCATGCCTCCCCTTTATCTTACCTTCTTCCTAACCCTGTTCCTCTCTGTTTCCATCCCACTTCAGTGTACGTGACGCTGACCTGCGCATTTCGCTATGGCCGAGATGACCTTGACGTTATTGGACTGACCTTCAGGAAGGACCTCTATGTCCTCACCACCCAGATCTTCCCACCGGTGCCGGACCAGACACCCAAAACCCTCACTCCTTTGCAGGAGAAGCTGATGAAGAAGCTTGGGGAGAATGCCTACCCCTTCACCTTTGAGGTAGGGGATGCTCTACCCTCCCTGATCACACACCCCCATGGTGTGCACCAGGGCTCATCTCTGGGCACACTCGTTATTCACTTTCTTCTCTCTTTCCCTGTTCTGCCCAGATTGCCACCAACCTGCCCTGCTCGGTCACCCTCCAGCCAGGACCAGATGATGTGGGAAAGGTGAGCTGCTGTCCCTGACCCATGTCCCTGAACCCATTCCCTCTGGCAGAAGGTTAGGTTGTGGGGTGCAAATAATGAAAGCTAATTCTCTTCCATGGCATTATGGCCCATGGGTGAGGGTTGGGGGGGAAGGATTGATGGACTTGGGACCAGCATCTCCAGGGATGCAGTGGGGAAAGGAGGAGTAGCTCTGAGCTCCCCCTGCTTAGTGACCATACATGTCCCCACAGGCCTGTGGTGTGGACTTTGAGGTCAAAGGATTTTGCGCTGAAAATCTGGAGGAGAAAATTCACAAGAGGTATTTGCAAGGGATCCCTTTCCTGCTCCGTGACCCTAAAACCAAACCATGGGATCATTCTGGGGTAACCATCTCAGGAGTTGGGCCAAGGACGTGCCATCAGCCTCTGCCGTGCTTGGGTGAGGTACTTCACCTGAAGGAGTGGCAGTGATCCCCATGTCAGTATCCAACATGTCCTAAGAGCAGGCTGCAGCTTGCATCCTTTGCTAGATACACTGTGATGTCCCCAAAGATGGCCAAAGTGCCCCCCTAGAAGGCTGTATTGACATGTCCCTGCCAAGAAGACTGGGGGTGACCGCTTCTTGTCCCGCAGGAACTCGGTGCGCCTGATCATCCGCAAGATCCAGTTTGCACCCCTGCAGATGGGGCCAGCCCCAAAGTCGGAGACCACCCGGCAGTTCATGATGTCTGACAAGCCCCTGCACCTCGAAGCTTCCCTGGATAAGGAGGTCAGTACAGAGCCTATCCCCTGGCTCGTGCCACCATGTGCATCCCCAAGGATGGGGACCAGGGTGCCCGATCACACAACCAAGCTTCTTCCTACTGCAGATCTATTACCATGGAGACCCCATCAATGTGACCGTCAACATCAACAACACCACCAACAAGATCGTGAAAAAAATCAAGATCTCAGGTGAGAGGGGCAGGAGGGGCACAGCACTCACCACATCCCAGCCTCCCCGTCAGACATGGGGACCTCTGCCACATCACCAAAATTGCTCCCACTTGTCTTTCCTCAGTTGAGCAGATCACAGACGTGGTCCTCTATTCTCTGGATAAATACACAAAGACTGTGTGCACTGAGGAGATAAAGTAAGTAAAAAGGGGCTGGGGATGGTGCAGCATCACAGCCAGAGGGAGGAAGAGAAAGGAGGAGGAGGAGGGGAGAGTGATGGTTTTACATCAGGCAGCAGAAATATCAGGGTTAGCAGAGCAGATGCAGAGGAAGCGGAGGAGAGGGAAGGCTGTGGATGCTGTGCCCCCAGCATAAGCAGGTGGGAGGTCCCTGGGGGACAGTGCACAGCTGCCCCCTGGCCACTTCCTCTCCTCACTTTGCATGTCTGAGGCCAGCCACAGCCTCTGAACCTCTGAGGACGAGGAGGGCCAGGGCAGAGGTGGGGGACAGAAAAAAGAAGTGGTTGTACATGGGAATGAAAGGAGGAAACAGGCCCAGGCAGCTGCGTGGGGAGGGCAGGGTGGGATGTCTGGCTCTGCCAGCGTGCCTGGCACAATGTTGGGTATCCCCAGTGAGTGCTGAGCACCCAGCAGGCTGGTGCTGGCTCTGAACTCTCCTTTCCAACCCCTTCCAGTGAGACCGTGGCGGCCAACTCCACCTTCTCCAAAACGTACTCTGTCACCCCCTTGCTCTCGGCCAACCGTGAGAAGCGAGGCCTGGCTCTCGATGGCAAGCTCAAGCACGAGGACACCAACCTGGCCTCCACTACCATGTAAGAGCCAGGTGGGCTCCCCCTGCTCCCCACCACAGCTGGACCCATGCCTTGCCCTGAGTCTGGCAGCTTCCCGCTGCTCAGGATGCTCTGGGCTCCCACCAAGGATCCCCCACACCTCCTGTGCCTGAACCCAGTCCACCCAGCTGGAAAATGTGACATGACCACAGACCCACCTTTCCATCCTGTAGAAGAGGCGTAGCCTCCCAGTCCCAACCACTGTCCAAAGCCCCTGTATCCCTCTACACAGCTGCATCAGGTCTTGTTTCCGGAGTAAATTCCAGCTCACACATCTCAAGTGACCTCCAGAAACTGCTCTGTGGCTTCAGCCAAATGACCTGCCCTCACCTCTCTTTTCCCACCACATTGTGTTGTCCTCTTGTGCTAAACCCCAGCGCACCCACATGAAAGAGGGCACAGGGACAGCCCTGGGAGCTGCTGGGGAGGGGAGCAGACAGGGTATGCAGGCAGCACTGCCCACCTCACCACCCCACTCTGCCTTTTTCCTAGCCTGAGACCTGGCATGGACAAGGAGGTGCTGGGCATCCTGGTGTCCTACAAAGTGAAGGTCAACCTGGTGGTGTCCCGAGGAGGGTGAGACTGCGGGCGTGAGGTCAGGGAATATCCTCTTGGGCTGTGATGTGGAATCTTTCACCACTGGGCAGATGACAAAGGGACTCACACCCCTGGCCTCTCCCCTCCTCCCTGGGCCATGGAGCAGCTGGGCACTGCGCTGTCCTCTGACTCCCACTCCTCCGGCCCCATCATCTCTGCCCTTCACCCCTATTATACATCATCTTCTACCTTGTTATAAAGCAAAGTCTAATACTCCCCTCCTCTGCCTTGGCTGATTTCTGTCCCTTCTCTCCTGCTGCCACAGCATCCTGGGGGATCTCACTTCCAGGTAAGGGGAGAGCTGCCTGTGGGGCTGAGCACGATGTGGCACTGGATGGGTTTATTGAAACACATGTTTTCCCTTCCAGCGATGTTGGCGTCGAGCTGCCTGTCATCCTGATGCACCCAAAGCCTGCCGATGGTAAGTAGTGCCTGGATGCTGCTGACACTCAGGGGAGGAAAAGGCAGTCCCCATTCAGAGGTGAATTTGTAAAAGCAGTGCCTCTGTGCAGTGGGACTGTGTGACTGTGGCTGTGTGACAGGCAGAGCTCCTCTGGCTCTGTGGCAGCCTCTGTCCAGGACCAGTGTGGGAGCAGCTGCCACCCATCCCAACAGCTCTTTCCAGAAACACACCTGAGCATTAAGAAGAGATGTTAGCTGAGATGTCCTTTCTGTACTAACTAACATCTGTCTCTCTTCCAATCCTTGCCTCCCTGTGCTGTGCTTATCAATGGAGTACAGATAAGCCAAGGTAAAGAAACACTTCCAGTGTTTCCTCTAACATATAAACCACAGAGACCCATCACAAATAGATGTGACGCCTCATTCCAGTTTGAGGTTACATCCTTGGATTAAATCATCCATGCCCCAAAGCTCTGAGCCCCCATGCAGCAGCAGACAGGATGGCACCCCCCACAGCAGCAGGCAGCAGGAGCATTGTCACAGTCTAGGAGGACTCAAATGCTGGGCTTGGCACACGCTCTGCAAATTCTCAGGGCTTATTTTACAACTCTCCTTGCTCCAAACACGCAGCATCTTCTGCAGCAAGCCCAGGCCTTGCCTTGTCCCTTGGAAGCAGCTGGCAGTGCTGTGTCTCCCAGTCACCACTGGATATTATGTCCCCTATGGCCTTGGTCCCCATCCTCCCCATGCTGAGGTCCCTGAGCTGCTGGAAGCAGGGCTGGTTATGGCCTCATGCACTCCTCACTGCCAGAGTCCTCCTCCCACCACATGAGCTTATTCCAGCTGAAGCCACAGCTGGGATTGCTTCCCTCTGGGAAGCTGCAGCATGCCAAACCCATTCCTGGCAGCCATGCCTGGCAGCCACAGCCACCAACCAGCCCCACAGCCGGCCCTGGCCTGCAAAGCCCCCAAAGGCTGCTTTCGTGTCTGGTTACACCCTGCAACGGGACTTGAGCACTGGGATTTGGGGCCTGGAAACTCAGGCTGTAACTGCAAGGTTTTCACACCAAAGCCTATCGGTTTCCCAGCTCAGCGAGGATGTTTAAACTTCCAGAGGAGGAAGTCTCTTGGCCTGTCCCCACCATCACTCCCTGTAGATTTTTGTCAAGGGGTTTCACATTCTCAAGCTTTTGGAATCAGTTTTGCTGACTCTTTTTTTTCCATTTTCTTTGCCCACTTCTCATTATGTGGCTCTCCCTTGATGTCATCTGCTGCTTGCCTTTCGCAAGAAGGTAACTAATCTCTTTGTCTCCACTTCAATTTCTTTTCCTTCTCTTTTTTCCCTTGACAATGTATAATATTGTCCTTAAAAACTGGTGAAAGTCACAGGCGGGAGCCCAGCTCCTCCAGTCACGCACGCTCACAGTTAAGCCAGTGATCAGCCCTGGGTTTGTGTACTCAGGTCAGGCTGTGGGGCACAGTGAGCTGGCTGTCCCCTGCAGCGTGTGGGGTGACAGGGCAAGGTGAGCACTGCATTATCCCCAAGTAGAAACAGGGTTAGGATGTGGGTGTTTGGGTGTCAGCAGGGATTTCATAGAATTCCAGGTTGGAAGGGACCTCAAGGATCATCTGGTCCAACTTCCTAAGCAGAAAATGACCTAGTCTAGACACTCAAACACCTTGTCCAGGCAAATCCTAACAGTGTCCAGTGCTGGGGAATCCACCACTTCCCAGGGGTGATTATTCCAACAGCTGGTTGTTCTCATTGGGAAAATTTTTCCTCTTGTGTCCACCTCAGTTTAACTTGTGCCCATTACTCCTCGTCTTTTCCAAGTGACCCCTTGTAAAAAGGGAGTCTCAGTCTTCTAAGATTTTGCCCTCTTCACTGCGGTGCGCCCCAGGCATCCAGCCAGCGGGCGCCCCATGGCCACCTCTCCATGCTCACCACACTCTGCTCTCCCTTCCAGCGAGGAGGACATCGTCATCGAGGAATTCGCTCGCCACAAACTCAAGGGGGAGAAAGACGATGAAGATGAGAAGGAGGAGGCTGACAAAGAGGAAAGCTAAGCTGCCGCCTGCTCGCACATACAGCCACCCGTCCCACCCGCCCTGGTTTGGGGCATAGATGCCCATAGCATGTTCCCCGCTGTACCACACGCGGTGCAGACCCTGCCGTGTGTTCCCCTAGCTGCACCTCCTTCCCCAGGCTCCCTGCACCGACTCCAAGCCCTGGTTGGGGCGGTAGGAGCCGCTGCATCTCCTCCCGGTACCCTGGAAAGCCCGAGTGCGTGCAGGACGGTGCCCGCACCTTCTTCACCCATAGGCGCCAGCGAAGGCACGGGGAGAGTGGGCCGGAGCCCACCGCCATCAGCGTGTTTGTCGTTTGCCTGCGTGCTGCAATACTCTGTGACACCGTTATCAATAAACCCGCCCCAGTGGCCCGGTGCAGGCTCCGTGTGGTGGTCCCGGGGCCGCGGAGGAGCCTGAAGCGAGCGGGCGGACTGGGGGTTCCTCGGAGCAGAGGAAGGAGGGCGGGGAGGGGGAAGTTGCAGGACGCGGGCCCCACACACAGGCCTCAGGGGCGACCGCTCCCGTCGCCATGGCAACCGCCCGCCCCGGGAAGGCGGTGCGCGGTGACGTTCCGGTGACGCTGGTGAACGTGACGCGCGGGGCGGCGGTGGTGCCGGTGTGTGCTCGGCGGTGTCTCCTTCTCCTCAGTCACGGCTCCGGCTCGGCCCCCCCGCGCCGCCATGTCCGCGCCCAGCAGCGGCGGCGAGTTCGGGAACCCGCTGAGGAAGTTCAAGCTCGTCTTCCTGGGCGAGCAGAGCGGTGAGCGGGGCGGGGGCCCGGCGGGCGGCTGCGGCCTGGCGCCGGGGTTGGGGGGGGGGAGGTGAGGAGCCGTCACGGGCCTTCCGCTGCGGGCGGCGGCGAGCGGCCGATAAGGGCTCGGAGCGTGTGTGTTGGGGGCAGAAAGCGCTAAAGGCTCTGCGGGAAGGGGGCTGAGGATCCGTTGAGGGCCGCTGGGTGGGGACCCGTGAGGGTCTGGCAGCGGCAGAACCGTCAAGCGCATTTCTCTGCTGAGGAGGGAGGCGGCAGCGAGCCGCCCGGGGCCCACGCGGGAGGCGGCGGCCAGAGGGCGCCCGCCCCAGGGAGAGGCGGCTTCGCCGTAGTCCGGCCTTGCGCCTCCGTCGGAGGGAGGCGAGGGCCTGGTGAGCGCCCGGGGCTCCCGCCTTCACCGCGCTGGCTCCCCGCGGGCCTGGCTTCCCGCTGATCGGGACTGGGCCTTCTACCGGGGCCGGCCCGCAGTGCGCCCGCAGCGGGGTTTGGCGGGGCGGGGAGGAGTCGGGGGGGGGGCTCTCGGGCTGCTGCTGCTCCGCCCCGGGTGTTGTATCTCTGGCCGTGTCCACGCCGGCTGCATGGCAAGTACAGGAGGGAGAATAAATGGCAAAACGGTGGTTGTGCAGCGGCCTAGAGCTTCGTTTGTTTTGTTTTACCTGAAGTTGACTCTTTTGTACCCCTGCCTTCACAATATATGGATGAGTTGTATAATTTTCTTGAAATGGTGGTATTTGCTGCATTGTTCTCTTTAGATCTTTTATTGCTTCCCCCCTTCTCGGTCCCAGAACTGTAGGTTTTGGAGGAATTCCCAGAAGTTGCCTTAATTCCCCTGCCTTACCAAGGTGGGATCAGGGGTATGCTGATAGACGTTTGAATGACCCGTTTTTAACCTTCCCTAGTGGTTACAATTTCACTACCTTTCTGGGTGATTTACCCTCTTCTTTTATCCATGGCTTTTGTATTTTTCTTGGCTTCCTACAGCTTCCTGAGAGAGAATCTGAGCTCTTACCTTTAGTTCCTTTTTCTTGTCAGTTCTGCACTTTGTCTTTTGATAATATTTGGCAATGCACATGTGAAGTTTTTAATCAAGCCACCAAAATTTATCTAAAATCTCATTGTGAGGAAAGGATATAAGTTTTGAATGTTGCTTTTCCATCCAGCCAGAGGCAGCTAAACAGTGTCCAGGACATCACTGTGTATTGATTTGATGTTTATGCCTGTAAGTCTTAGACCTGGTGATTACATAAGTAGCAAAATATGAGTAACGAAGCAGATTATTTCCTGCTTAAAGCAAACCAATAGTTCTTTATCAGATGCATCACAACATATCTAATTTGAGGATCAAGTGATAGTCATGATTTATTTTTGATCTACTGAGACTGATTTGGTTTAACATAGTTCTGTCATTTTGTGAATGACTTTCTTAGGTGGTTATTTCACAGGAGGGGGTGGCTGGGAAATGGCCTTAGATTGGCAGCTTCGTTCTGATTCATTCGTCCCAAAGCAGTGGTGGTTTGGGTTTTTTCCCACTGCTGCTTGAAAGTAATTTTTCTCTTCTTTTGTAGTTGGGAAGACCTCTCTGATCACCAGGTTTATGTATGACAGTTTTGACAATACTTACCAGGTATGTGGTAGTGTTTTGAGCGTGGCTTTTTGGTTTTGATTTGTTTGGTTTTGTTTTGGTTTTGATATATGTGTATATGTGTGTGTGTAAATCTGTCCCCCTCTATTAGTATTTGTGCCTGTGAGAACTGTTAGGGCCAAGCACATTTCCCCATGAGCTGTCAGTTCAGTATCATTTGTAAGGTTGGAATGTGCCTTGAAATGCAGATGAGTCTTCACAATTAAGCCCAAGCATCTAATATGATGCCTGGAAGGGCAGTGTACAGAAAAGAAGCAAGGTTTAGATTTTGTATATGTGTGAGAAGCCTTGAGGAAAAGGGGGATAAACATTGGTTTATGGGGTGGCGAACAGGGAACACAAGGGTCAGGATGCCTTACAATGCATATGGGAGTCTCAGGAAACAGAATGAATAAGGTACAAACATGCTTATGATCGTTCTTGGTCTCTGGCATCTTTAGAGGCTTTCCATTTAAGTAGGAATGGTTGAATCCAAAGTGTGTAGATAGATCTGCAAGAAGTCAGCATGGCATATTCTTTTTTTTTTCCTTTATTTTTACTACTTCTTTTAACTAAAAGGCTGTAGAGGGAGCTGATGAAGTCTCGGCAGGGAAGGAGTATGGTAGAGATGAAGAGGTGCAGATGGAAATCTGAAAATGTGTAAGGCCTGAAGACTTCAGGAAGAATTAGTTGTGTCAAAAGCACTTGGCAGTATTTAAAGGAAATACCAAATATCTTTAAAGAAGATAAGACTAGGGTGTTACCTTGTAGTTAAGGCCAGAAAGAGTTACTGGTTTAGATTTGGGTTATTTTAAGTTGAAAAAGGAAGAGAAGATTGTTTTCCTCATGACAACTCATTCACTGGAACAGCCCTTGGAAGGGTGCTCTTGTAGATTTATCTGCTTATTACAGTTGTTACAAACTGTGTTCTGGCTGCTACTTACTACAGAAATTGAATGTTGTGGTCTCTTCTAATGTTAAATGGTTCACATTCTAATGAAGACCTTCTAGAACACGTTAAATGTTCCCTGTGTTTGTTAGGACCAGAGCTAGTCTGTCTAAAATACTAAAATCTGTTACATCAGTAACCTGTCTCTTGGTTCCCAGGGTTATGATAGGACATCTGCTTGATTTAAGTGCCTGGGAGCACAGCTAGCTTGGTAAATTACTTTAAATGTCTTTGTACCAGAATTGCTGTGCAGCAATAGAAACGTGACTGGAAGGAGCTGTGAAATGAAGCATCTGAATGTCACTGGAAAGGAAGCACATTCTGAAATGGAAAGCCCGAATAAACATTGCTTTTAAGCCTTCAGCACAGTTGCCCACAATTTATATCTGTAATTTGCTTTACCTTTTGGATATTCCTAGTGAGAGAATTCTTTCCAGACTGAATTGTGGTAGACCAGATGAGAAGGTGATCCCAGTTCAGGTGTGATCTGTGTTAAGATGCATGAATGTCTGAGGCTAAAATCAAGACTCGGAGGTTCTTGTGCAGCTGAGAAGTGTTGGAAGAATGCTATGAAATGACAATGGTGCAGGTATTCAGATTGCTTTGTTGTTATCAGCTGCATTGAAGGCAGATGACTTCAGCAGCTTAATTGTAAGTTGGTGAACATTTCTGAGAGTTTTTGTAGACAGCTCTGATTTGCAGATGCTGGAAGGAAGCTTGCAGTTCCTAATGCTTTTCTTCTTTCCAGGCAACCATTGGAATTGATTTCCTGTCAAAAACGATGTATCTGGAAGACCGCACGGTAAGTGAGGCATCTCTGTGATAACATGGCAACTGCAGTCCTGGGAGCAGTGGTTACTGTGCATACTATTCCACTGTCCATTCCTCCAACAGCTGCTAATATCCCACAGCAGCCTTCAGAGGGACAGCCTTTGTCACTGACCAGCTTTCCTTGTTTCCAATGTTTGTTCATATCTGATACCTCTAGAATGAAGTAAAAATCTTTCATGCAAAACTGGGGTAAGCTAATGTCCATATCCCAAGAAATGGGCTGTCTGTTATATCTACTTTAAGTGTAGTTTGCCTCTAGAATTTGCAGCTCTGCCTCTGGGATTGTCTGTATAAATGGGTCTGAGCAGGGTCGAGGCAGTTACAGGTCTGAAAGTCTTTCATGATTACCAGCAGTGGTGTAGTTTCTTCTTGTAGGAAGGCTCCTTTTGTAATACAGTTCTAATGTACTGTTGATGAAACAGTTTTGGATTTAGCTTGCATGAGATTCCTCTTTGCACAAAGAGATCCCTCACATCCCTTTCCTGTCTTTCAGTATTTGTCTTTTCATTAATTCGTGTTTTGCTGGTACTTGCCTTTTTTTGCTAGTTTTACTACTGGCTAAGAAGTGTGATGCTGTTGCGGGAAGGAAGGGACCAGTGGTGCAATAGAAGTCGTTTGTGTTGCTTTGGGTCTGTTGCTTCCGAGGAAGTCTCAGCCCAGTGTGTGTGGTGAGTTTCCCAAGTGCTTCTCTGCCATCTTGCCAGTAATTCACTGTTAGGAAAGCCCTTGGCTTAATCTTTGGGAGAAACTGCTTGGGTAACATTCTTCAATGGTACTGGCAGTAACAGAAGAAAAAGGTCCTGGAAATGCTGCTTGAGACCTGTGAAAGCACCTTGGAATGCCTGTATTCTGTTTCCATCAGGGTAGTCTTGATTTCTTTTGGCTGCATAGGTCAGGATGTCATTCACCTGCTGGCCTGCTATCCCAATACCATATTCATTGGGCATACTGCTAGTTTCTTGATTATGTAAGTGGTCCACAGCTCATAAAGCCTGTATAAACAAAGGAGAGGTCTTGAATGAAGATAAAAGGAGGGACAAATACAAGCACACAAGCTGGGAAGATTCTGCAATAGGCTTTGACTGCTAGGCTTGAATGCTGAGCCTCTTAACTGCAGTGTGTGCTTTGCGATACTTGATATGTCCTTACACCAAATAATATATCCTGAAGATACACCTGTGCTAGATCACTCAGCGCTAAGAATGGCCTGTTTAGCATGTACTAGCCAGAAGAAGGGGAAATATACTGGAATTT